TGCCATAATTCAGTTGGATCTGCCTTAATTTGTGTATCACAAGGAACAAGAAGGCTGGAGAGGGACTTTGGATAAGAGCCTGGAGTGACAGGATAAGGGGGAATGGCTTCCCACTGCCAGAGGGTAGAATAAGGTGTCCCTGCCCATGGTCTCATCAAGATGAGATGGTCTTTGAGGTCCCTTCTAACCCAAACCATTATGTGATTCCAGGATTCTATAAAAATGCAGACCTGCCTCTGCTCCCTTGTCTCAGGACTTTCCCGCTACCATATTGCCATTCACACCAATCTGAATAAGACCAGAATGAACCAGAAAAGGTTAGAGATAATCCTGTCAAGTTTTTGGTTCTACATGTTATAGTTCAGCAACTCAAATTTACCTGAAGGGCAGTTATTACCTTCCAGCTGCATTACATCCTACAGCTCCAGTGAGGACAAATGCAATGAACAAAGACTGAAATCTCTCTGGATATTGTATGACTTTGAGAATAAAAACTGAATATCTTCCTAGGCCACCGAGACAGATGGCAGAATCAGAGCACAACCAGCTGCAGCTGCAGAACCAGGACATGAAGGAAAAAAGACTTTTCAGCACTTTTGCTTCCAAAGTAAACTTTCTCCCTCAAGCTGAGTAGAACAGCACTCAGAGGCCTGCAAAAAGGGTACTGATCCCTCAAGCTTCCAGCAGCCACCACTCCAGGGATTTCGGAGGAGGTTGATGGTATTTAGTTGTTTACAGGACTGAGTCCAAATGGACTGGAAAGCTCAGACTCTGGGAAGCTGACTGATTATGTTGTGGTAACCAGCAGAATGTCTCAATTAATTCCTCAATTAAATCCTCAATTAACTTATCAGATGTAGGACAGGCTGAGCTGGACAAGGCAGTTGATGCCTCAGCAGAATCCTTTGCCAGGCTGGAAGGAATGTGGAAATGATTCAGGATTAAAATTCCTCTGGCCAATCGAGTTTGCCCCAGTGCAAGCACAGCAGGACCACAGCCCCCGGCGGTTGCAGGGACAAAAGCTGCTCTCTGATCTGCCCCCGTGGCACAGCCCCTGCTGGCTGCTGGACTCTTAAGGCCATGATCAGCCTTATGCTAGAGAGATCAAGAGGGAGAGATCAAATAAAGATGTCAGTGGTTCCCCCTGGAGTGAATATTGCTGAGTTTATGTTCCCGATGTTCCCATGGGCCGCTCCTGTTCCCTGTCTCCTCAAACAGAGGCAATGGATACCTGCAAACAACCCAAGTGTGCTTGCACAGAGCTCCCCTCTCTTCCTGACCCAGCTCCTTCTAGTCCTCCTGGCTGAAAGCAATCAGCCCTGTTGCCCCTCACACTCTGGGGTGTCCCAGGGTTGTGGAACTCCCAGCTGAGCTCTCAGTGTCCCTGCTGGGATGTGGGAGCTCAGTCCGCAGGTGCCGCCTCTCTTTTCTCACCTTCAGCCCCTTTGAGCTCTTTATGCTTTCATGCCCTTCAGAGATGGTCTCTTCTCAGCAGGGTTTGGGTTTACAACCTGCTCACACCTCACAGTCTGTCCCTGTGGGCAGGAATTTTCAACAAAACGAGCTGGAAGCAAGAGCTTGGCTGCAGCTCAGCAGGAGAGAGCACCCAAACCCTCTGACTGCACTTGAGAGTTTCTTCTGTAATGACTCACTTCGTGCAATGTAAGAAATTTGTAGCACAAGTGTGTGAATTTTTCTTTATTGACAGTTAAGCAAAAACAGTATAAAAATTAGCTATGAAGTGGTCTCTAAATGAAAAACCCATTACATCTCCATCAGCCCAGCAGAAACAGAGTGCAAATGGGTTTGTGTCAAGAATGCAAATGGTTTTATTACAGGAGTTTTGATTGAATTAGCTAGAAGCTCAAATTATCCTGCAATTGAATTAACTGAAAGTCACTGTCCTTCTCACACATTTCACAAAAATTTTAAAGAGCACTTACAGAAGGGTTTGGTGTCTTTAGGGCTGTATGACCTATGGGTGATTTGTCCTTTCCCATGAAGTGCCTTCTGAGCCATCCCACACTGTGTGGCACTCTCATTACCAACCAACAAAGCATGTATGCACGCAGAAAGGGATTGAAATGCCTCAACTTTTTTGCCCCTTCAAAATTAGAAACTAAATGGCAGAGCAGAAGGAAGAGGCCACCCACACAATCAGGTTCAAAGTGTAGGAGTCCAAAGAAATCAGTGCAAGAGAGTAACACACATTTCAGCCTGGCAGGTATCCCTTAAGTGGCTGCTCTGTGGGGCTGTTCTCACCCTTTGGGGTGGGTAAGGGGTGTCACTGGTGGTGACAAGCTGTTCACAGGCACTGTGCTGCTCAGTCATAGCGTGTGCTGTACTGCACCTGCAATGCACACAGCCACGTCTCACTTAGGATTTTTGTGTTTGATCTGGTGGCTCAAAGCCCATCCAGCTCCTGAAAGAACCACCCCCCGTCCTGCTGATCCCCTGTTCCTGTTACCTGCTGCAGACAGAGGATGGTTGTTAAAGGCAAAGCTTTTTGTCAGATGTCTTTGACTTTGGGCACTGACAAAAACACCCCATGGGTGTGCCCCTGGAGCTGCCATCCCTCTGGGTGGGTCAGCAGACCCCACGTGACTTGGGCAGAGCACGAGCTCACCTGCCCTGTGAGGTTTCCTTGCCAATTCGGCTTCACCTCTGTAGAAGTCCATCCAAGAAACCCCCAGGGCATTCTTCCTCTCTCTGTTCAGTGTCAACCTGCATTTCCTTCATTCTCTGTCTGGAGCCTTTGTTCCTCTCCTCCTCTCACCCAGCTTGCCAGAAAGAGACTCTCAGGAGTGACACTGTGGGACCTCATCTTTCTCAGCCAGAAACACTGACCTGCAAACAACTCTGCCTGCACATTTGCTCTTGTTTTCTCCAACCCTCTGCTCATGCTGGTGTCCCCTCACACCAGCTCCTCTGTTTGCTTTGCCCTTTGCCAGTGGAGCTCCTTCTGAGTGTGCTGAGCTGTTCTGAGCTGCTCTCTGGCCAAGGCCAGGTCCCAGGGCTCACACACATCGCTGTGCTGGCAGCACACACTCTCCTGCTGATGATCACATATGCTCTGCTCCGAAAATGGAAGAAGGATTCCACCATTTTACAGGCAAAAAAACCTGACGGAAAGGGACACCGGAGTGAGAGTCTGTGTCATCTGTTCTCTGAATGACAGTGACCTTGTCAGACTTGTGTTGTGGAGTGAAACACGGAGATCTGATCTCATCCCTTAACTCTGCCCGAAATCCTATGGGGCCTTCAGCAAAACACCGAGTGCCTTCATGCCTATGTCACAGGATCATAGAACAACAGAATGCTTTGGGTTGGAAGGGACCTCAAAGACCATCTCATCTTGATGAGACAGGCAGGGACACCTTCCACTAGCCCAGGTTGCTCCAAGCCCTGTCCAACCTGGCCTTGGACACTTCCAGGGCTGGGGTAGCCACAGCTTCTCTGGGCAACCTGTGCCAGGACCTCCCCACCCTCACAGCCAAGAATTTATTTTTAATATCCAGTCTAACCCTGTCCTCTGGCAGTGTAAAATCATTGCCCCTTGTCCTGTCACCAGGAGTCCTTCTCCCTCCTTTTTCAAACTTGTGGGAGAACCTGACATTCTCCCAGAGTTGTCTGGCTGATGCTGGTCCCTAAAAGGTATTTCTTGCACCTTGGAACCCCTTTGCAGCTCCAAACCTTCCCCTGTATTATTGGGACAAAGCAGCTCCCTATGCCTTGAGTAGAGCTGAATCCCACACTGAGGTGAGACTATTCCCAGAGGAATGGGAAGGCTAAAATATTCTCTGATTATGCAGAAATCACCTTTGCTACCAGGCAAGTGTTGAGTTCAATCATTACAATGCAAATATTGTCAGTACAGGTTTAGAGACAGGAACAGAAAGAGGAAGCATGTGGACAGAGCTTTAAGTGAGCTCCAGCTGGGCTGTTTCCTGTGATCAGTGAGCTCGTGGAACACTTACAATCATGTGGCAGAGAAACAGTATTTAAAAAAAATTCCAGTCTTTGGCACATCCACAGAAGCATCCTGAATTAGGGACAGGTGTAACTTCACATCCCCAAAGCTCCTCTGGGATTCTGGTGTTCCCTCACAGGGTTTCCTGTGACACACAAGTCTCCAGTGGATGGTCTCACCTGATTTACCAGCAGTGGTGGCCTCTGTGTGTGACAGCCCAGATGTGACCAGATTGGCTCCCAGTCCCCATGTGGGGAGAGGGCTCGCCTTGGAGTACTGGCTGGAATTTGTCATTCACTACTGAATATCCTGCACAGGGTCACACACAGACAAACACCTTTCCTATAGCACATACCTCAAAATGTTCCTCTTGGATCAAGGCTAGGACATGATGGGAGCCAAAAAGGTGCTGGGGGAACGCTAAGCCTGGTGTATGTTCTAATTCAAGGAAAAAGGTTACAGAGAGACACATCTATTCTTTTCTCTGACTTTTCTGTTGACAATACAAATTGTCTGGGAGAGATGTGACCCCTCCACATGTGTTTGGGCAGTGTCTCACCTCTTCCTCTGGACCTGGCACTCCTGGTTGGCACAAACAGCAGGCACTAAAGTAAACCTTGGCCACACTCTGTTTATGTATTGTACACTGCAAATAATGAGGCCAAAACCTGTTTTGCCTCTTGGCACCTCGGTGCTTTGCTGAGAGTTCCTGCCCTGCAGAGCTCTTGCTTCACCTTTGCTAAATCTGACCCTTCCCGAGTGACTGCATTGTCTTGCACTGCACTGACCCCTGTTCTGTGCCTGGCAGTGCCCTTCTGCTCCCCAGGCAGGTCCCACCCCAGCAATTCTGCCCATTTACCACACGCCCAGACAGACAAGCTGTCCTGCACTTCATCACAACAGCAAGACACGCGGGACTGACAAGGGCACGAGCGGCAGGGATGGCTTGGGTTTGCTTGTGGAACCTGCAGGCACACCCTGCCATCCCAGGGTGAAGTCACCTCCACAAACGTTCCTGCAGGTCTCTCACCTCGTCCTTCCAGCTCTCGGTACCGAGCCTCTTCTTGAAAACTTGGTTCATTACCACGACCATGACTGAAGAGCAGCTCTGTGAGATAATTTTATGTCTCCCTCTTGCTGTTAAAAGGAAAGGGAACAATTAGTCTCCTTGGTCAATAAGAACTGAAGGTGTTATCTGGCAGCAGATAAAATTTAAGTCTTGAAAATACAAACCCAACAATCAGTGCATGAAGATTTGGACTCTGGTCTGAGAGATACCAGAGAAATCCCCCAGATGAGGAAGCTCACAACATCAAAGAGGCTGAGGAAAATATGGAAATATGTCAGGCTAAAAACATTAGAGGCAGATGATTGAGTGCAAACCCCGGTCAGCTTGTTCTCTGTGGGTAGCATGATCTCTTTTTCCTACACCATTCTTTTTCTTGACCGACTCACTACAGAGTCCTTGTCCCAGCTTTCCCTGGTCACTCCTCCCTGGTCACTCCCAGAGGCACCTTATAAGACTACAGGAGTCACAGACCCATCACAGCACTGCAGATTGTTAGAAACCTAAATCTCATGGTTCATGTACCAGGGCCAGGCAGCCCTCCTGGGAGCAGAGGTAATTAAATTTTGCTCAGTCATGCAGGTAGAGAAACAGCTCTTGATAATCCTGCCTCTTGTCCTTGCACGCCTCCGTAACACCCCGTGCCTGGCAGCTGGCCTTGCCTCTCCAGAACCCATGAGCTGGAAACCCAGAGTGCTGGAGGAGCTGAGGACATCCCTTAGGCTTCAGATGGTCTGTCTGGTCTCTCTTCTCAGAAAGAAGGTGTCACAGAATCACAAAATCACAGGATGGTTTGGATTGGAGAGGACCTTAAAGGTCATCTCATTCCATCCTTCATGGGTAGGGACAACTTCCACTAGATGAAGCTTTCCTGGCAAAGCCCCCACCAGCATGGCACCACCCATCAGGGAAGCAAACTCCATTTTTTAAAGAAAAACATCTCATTCTGTGTCATTCATCAAATCTGCATAAGTCTTCCTGTAAACATGAGGCCTGCAGCTGCACTCTCACCATCCTGGCCAAACAGTGACCAGCAGCTCGACCAGCATCTGTCCCCCCTTCAGCAGCAACTGGCTCTGGCACAGCTCCATGTGCTGTGTGGAGGAGATGTAACCCTCACCGAAATGAGGGACCCAGGACAGGGCAGGGCCAGCCCCTCCAGTGCTGGACAGTCCCACAAGGGGGCTAAAGCTTCATCTCTCTGGGACTGCAGGTACAGAGGACACAAGACCACGAGTCACCAGCAGAGTCAGTAATGAAACCAGAGAGCTCTGACGGTCATGTTATTGTAGATAACAAAAGACTGTCCCAAAAGGATCAGAATCCTTGACTCCACCTTACACGTGAGGAACTGAGGCACAGAACTGTGACATGACCTCCCAGGGCTGAGGACTGAGAGCTGGTCTCAGTCCAACACTCTGTCCAAGGGCAGCACAGGCTTCAGCACACAGACTTGAGAGCTTAAATCCCCATCACACGTCTTCTGCACCTGTAGAACTTTTTCTTCCCTCTCACCTCTTCTCTGGTGATGCACTGCCCCACTCTCAGCCAGCTCTGCTCACTGCTGTCTCCACATCAGGTCACAGTTCTTTGGCCAAAGCATTCCCTTCCTAGTATGGATGAGCTCTGCAGCACCTCAGTGAGTTCAAGTCCTTTTCTCCCAGGAAAAAGGCAGCTCTTCGCCATGGAGAAAAAGAAGTAGATAGGAAGAGGTCTGAAGGTGAAAACCCCCTGCCTGAAAGAATCGAGGGTGCATGCAGTGCTCCAGTATCCGGTCCTGAGTGCAGCTCTGAGGTCACCACGGGTGTCACCACCGCCTGGTTGCCTCCCTTTGTTACTGTAGAAACTCTTTTACTGGTCCATTCCACCATCTAGTGGAGATCTCTGGAGAGGACACACACCAAGGCAACAGGGCAAGAGCTACCACAGAACACAGAACCATGGAACAATTAAGGATGGAAAAGACCTCCAAGATCGTCAGGTCCGACCTTTGCCCACCACGTTCACAAAGCAGATGATGAAGTGCCACGGCTACTCGTTGTTTGAACACTTCCAGGGATGGTGACTCCACTACTGCTCTGGGCATTCTGTGTCAATGCTTAACCACTCTTTCAGTGAAGAAATTTTCCCTAATATCCAATCTAAACCTCCCCGGTACAACTTGAGGCCATTTGCTCTCCTCCTTGTTCCCTTGTTCCCTGGGAGCAGAGCCCGACTTTCCCCTGGCTCTATCCTCCTGTCAGGGAGTTGCAGAGTCAGAAGGTCCCCCCTGAGCCTCCTTTTCTCCAGGCTGAGTCCCCCCCACCGCCCAGCCACTCCTCATCTTGTGCTCCAGAGTACTGTACATGTACAGTGTGCACTCCTTCACACACCCCTTGTTCCTCCCTCCTTCCTACAGTATTTTGTATTTTATTTAAGATCTGCCAAGACCCTTTGGTTACTCAGGGTAACCTGATGTATTTACTTTGCACTTAGATGAAAACTTGATCGAGTTCGGAGCACAAGTGTAGACTTGTAAAGGATTTGAGCACTTTACACAAACCCTGATTAATCCTGCACATGGAAACCTCGAGGAGCCATATACAGAAGATTCACAGGGAGTGTCCTGCAATGTGGAAGTGGGAATGGACAGTGTTTGCCATTTGCCAGTGACTCCACATTGCCCCTTTGAAGTTTATATCAATCATGAGGTGAAATCCAGTGGTCAGCACACAGCGGAAACCAAATGTAGAAGAGCTTCACCAGTGTGTTCCAAGGCCTGGCTGGCACTGCAGTGGCTTTGCTCCATGTGCTGATGGGAATTGGTTAGGAAAAACTAAAAAATGGAGATTATTACAGTCACCTCTACAGAAGACAGACCAGCATCATACCTCAGGTAGTACAGACCTGAATTACTAAGAATGAGCTTCCACTCCAAACCACCAAAGAAGCCTTTTAGAAGATATTTGGATCACAGCAGGAACTATTTCATCACCGCTTCAGCATCCACAGAGTAAGAAGTGAGGGTGAATCCGGAGTAGGGCAGATGACAATCATCCTCATGCTTTGATTTTGAGATGCCTGAAATATTCTGTACTTAAAAATCAGCCAAGATGCTTTTCACAGGTACTCAGAGGCAGAGATATCCATGGCACTTCAGCAGCACATAAAATGCTCAACCTGGAGGTGTCCAAAGCCAGGTTGGACAGGGCTTGGAGCAACCTGGTCTAGTGGAAGGTGTCCCTGCCCATGGCAGGGAGTGGAACTTTTTTTGGTCTTTAAAGATGGTCTTTAAGGTCCCTTCCAACCCAAACTATTCTAGGATTCTGTGATTCCAAGTGTCCAGTCTGTTCTTGGTGATTCCAACCTTCTCCTGCAAAGCCCTCTGCTTTGGGGAGATAGGTCTACCAAGGGATAGGTCAGGGTGGATGGGGATGGTGACAGGGATGTCCTCACCCACACCACTGCCATTTGGAGCAGGCACCAGTCAGAGGAGCATGAGCTGAAACCCACCCAACCCCATATGACTGAGACAGCTACTAAATGTAATATCAGACACCTGTGGTGATGATCAACACTGGTAACAATAAAGACAAAGTGTTTTCTGTGCAGTGCTGCCCAGTGTGGGGTGGCAGCCAGCCCTCAGAGCTGCCAGACTTCACCAGTAAGGAAGAATACAGTTACTCCAGTCAGGACATTTGCAGCGTCCTCTTAGCATGGTCCCTCCTGAAGATGACAGCGTGACCTATTGCAACAAGATTTTGAGAATGGGATTTCAGTTCAGGCAGTGAGTCTTTTCTCTACGACCAGTGAAAGAAGTGGCTAAGGATGACCCTGCACTGGGGTGTTTCTGACAGCGTGTATTGGGTTTGCATGGCCAGGTTTTGGTAGCAGGTGAACTACAGGAGTAGCTTCTATGAGAAGCTGCCAGAAGCTTCCCCCATTTCCTGCAGAGCCAATGCCAGCCAGCTGCAGGATGGACCAGCAGCAGCTGGCCAAGGCCAAGCCCATCAGGAATGATAGTAACACCTCTGGGATAACATATTTGAGAAGGAAAAAAAGTTGTCCAGATGAAAATTGCAGCCAGAGAAGAGCAGAGTAAGAACATGTGAACAGCTCTGCAGACACCAAGGTCAGCGCAGGAGAGGTGGGAGGTGCTCCAGGAGCCGGAGCTGAGGTTCTCCTGCAGCCCGTGGTGAGGCAGCTGTGCCCCTGAGCCCATGGGGGACCCCACAGGAGCAGGGCTCCTTGAGCTCTGGTAGGTTGGGTACATCAGGAGGTCCAGAGCAGGCAGTGACCTCACAGGCACCATGGTCTCACATGAACCCACAGACATGTCTGCCAAGGTACCTGTTTGTAGGACACCCCACCTCATCACCACTGAGCCAATTGGAGCAGCATTTTGTGCCAACATGGCACATAAAACCCCATCACCTACTTCAAAATGTTTGTGCACCTTTGTCTTCTCCATCTGATCATTCTCTCATATGCTCTTCAGCTGGAGGATAAGGGCCCACAGAAGCAGGTTTGGCCAACCTTTTGCTTGTAGAGCAGGGCTTGCATCTGGCAGACATTAATAATAAGCAATATATTAACATAAGAACATAGTAACATATTATGTAATTTATTATCACTGTCATTAACACAATATACATGTAACATCACAATAAACCTTTTCCTGTACCAATAGGCCCCTGAATAACAAGGAAGTTCAAGTGAGTATTTGAGGATTCCAGTCTATTCATTCCGTGCATAATCCCAGTAACACATTAACATTCCCCAGAGCTATGCCAGTCCTCCCAGCAATGCTTTCCAGTTAATTTGTTTTGTTGTTAATCAAATCCGGTTAAATAATCAGAGCGGATCCATTTCATCTCATTTCACATTTCTGAAAGGAAAATATTCAGTCTGTATTTTACTGAGAGCTGAAAACAAGGCACTCTGAGGGCAAAACTTACTAAGGCAAAATTAAGGGTGAGACACACACATACACACACACACACACACACACATACCTTCCCCCACTTCTCCTCCAAAAAGTTGATGCAATTTTGCATAAGTTGAGATATTAGTGATCTGACTTTTCTGGGTCACTGTTATTCCACACCATTTAATGCTTATAATAGCTTCCACTGAGTGTAGTTCTCTTCTGAGCGCCACAGGATGTCTGACCCCTGAGGCCTTAATGAGGCACTGAGAAAGGGATTTGTGCGTCCAAAAGGAGATGCTCACATCTAGGTTACACAACCCTCCCCAAATAAGGACTTGCCTTCAGCCACAAGGCATGAGTCTTATGGCCTACTCATGAAATGGGAAAAGCTGGGACATCTAGACCCAGCCCTGGGAGAGCTCAGCCTCTCTGTGCCTTGTTGGGATATGCCCTTAGATAGTGACAGCCCGAGCAGAAGGCAGAGCACAGACACACCCTCCCTGATGGGCACTGTCACCCTATCTCACCGTCCCCAGACTCAGCACCAGCATTCCTCAGAAAAGCTGCTGGAAATGTTTTTCTCTCTTAGGAGCTACTTGCAGAACAGAAGAAAGCAAGAGGGGCCCTTCATGGAGAAAGAGATCAGCATGGCCAGGCAATTCTGGTAGCAAATGCTTCCTGCAGGGCGGCCCCAGGCCCTGAACTCCTGTGCACACTGTGCAGCTCACTGTGCCAGCAGTGGGGGGAGAACCCCTGTCCCTGGAAAAGCAAGAGACAGCTCTGCCCACAGAGCTGATCAACACACAGGGACCATGTCCACGGAGAAACATGCTGGCACACTGGCAGAGGAGACCAACAATAACAGAATCCACCTCAGGAGCAGCTGAGGGAGCTGGGGGGGCTCAGCCTGGAGAAAAGGAGGCTCAGGGGGGACCTTCTGGCTCTGCAATCCTCTGACAGGAGGGGGGAACCAGGGGGAGTCAGGCTCTGCTCCCAGGGAACAAGGGACAGGAGGAGAGGGAACGGCCTCCAGCTGTGCCAGGGGAGGTTTAGGTTGGATATTAGGGAAAAAATTCTTCATCGTGTTAAGGAAATTTGCCAATCTGACCGTTCCTGAGACCCTCTGGCAGTCACACTCCCAATTCCAGGCACTTTTACTGCTGGGATCGAAGCCTCTCCAGTGACCCAAGGGAGTCACTGACTCCCCACACACCCAACACTCACACAGTCAGACCAGGTTTCCTCACCGGTTCCACCCCAGGTTTCCCATACCAGATCCTCAGATGCCTCGTTCCATAATGCAATTTATTCATGGTGCAGTAACACAGGAACAGCTCCGAGCTGGTGCCTCAGAGGAGGGACCCTGAGCAAAGGATCCCTGGGCTTTTATACCCTCACAATCCATGAGTGAGCAAGTCTTGCTCTTCCTCCGGAGTCCCCTGCTCCTGTGCCCCTCTCCATGTCCATCCACCTTGCTGGCATCACTCCTCTTCATGTCCTTTGTTATCCCAAAGGTTGGCAGTTCACACCTAGAGCTCAATCTGCATCTCAATCTGCAGGTTGCAAACTGAGCTACCTGCCCCAGAGGTATTCCTCAACAAAGGAACCAGAGGTATTCCTCAACAAAGGAACGGGCGGTCAGGTACTGAACAGGCTGCCCAGGGCAGTGGTGAAATCACCATCCCAGCGTGTGTTCAAAAAACCTGTGGATGTGTCACCTGGGGACACGGTTAAGGAGTGGGCTTGGCCTGACAAGTGACAAGAGGATATAGTCTCAAGTTCTGCTCGGGGAAGTTCAGGTTGGATATTCACTGAAAGGATTGTTCAGCCCTGGCACAGTGAAGTCCCCATCCCTGGATATGTTCAGAGAAGGTGTGGGCGGGGCACTCGGGGACACGGGTTAGTGGTGGCCCCGGCAGCGCTGGGGCCACTGTTGGCCCCACCGATGTTAAAGGGTTTATTCCAACCCAAACCGCTCCTCGGCTCCGAGGGCTCTGAGGGGGCCGAGGCGGGGCCGGGGGCGGGGCCGGGGGCGGGACCATCGCGGGGGCTCTGCCCCGCCCCTCCCGCCCTGGGGCGCGGGGACCGCCCCCCCCGTACTGCGCAGGCGCTGAGGGGCAGCCGCGCGTGCGCCGCGCCCAGCGCCGGCCTCATGCGCTGTCCCGCCGAGCTGCTGGGGGCCGGCGCCGCGCGCGCTCCGCACCGCCCGCACCCCCCGCCCGCGCCGTGCGCGCGCCCGGCGGACACAGGTGAGGGCGGCGGGCGGGACCATGGGGGCGGCGCGGGGGGGGGGGGGGCGCGGACCCCACGCGGCTGCAGGGGGGGACACAGGCGGCTCAGTGGAGCCGCGGCTGTGGCGGGAATTTGTGGCGGGAGGAGCCAGGAGGAGGGGACGGGAGGAGGGGACAGCGGGGACAGGCCCTCAGGGGCCGGGGGACAGGCCCTCAGGGGCGGGCGGGGTCGCAGCTCGGGGGTCGCTGTCAGGGCGGGGGTGCCGCGGGGTCCCTGTCGGGAGTGTTGAGCCCCGCGCTGAGGCGGTGCCGGGTGTGCCGGTCCAGGCGCGGGGCAGATGAAGTACATCCTGGTCACGGGCGGGGTGATCTCGGGCATCGGCAAGGGGATCATCGCCAGCAGCATCGGCACCATCCTCAAGTCCTGCGGGCTGCATGTCACCTCCATCAAGATCGACCCCTACATCAACATCGACGCCGGCACCTTCTCGCCTTATGAGCACGGTGAGCGCCCCGCGGGCGGGTGGCCCCGGGTGGGTGCGGGCTCTGCCGGGTGGTCCCGCGGCTTGGCCTGGAAGGAGCCATCCATCCCCATCCGTCGCTGCGCTCTGCACAAACCTCTGTGCCCGCTCCTGTCTGTGGCACCCCGGGCTGAGCATGCCCTGGGCTGGCCGGTGGGGCTGCTGTGCCCCAGCCCACAGCAGGGATGTGCTCCCTGCTCTGTTCCTGCTGCCTGGTTGGGGGGCTCCGTCCCCAATGCACTAGTCCTCTGTTGTATAAGGCTTTTAGTTTTATTTACCACTTCTAAACTTGCTGTGGCAGTCAGAGAAGGTGTTTCTTTGCCCTGAATTCTTCCATTTTTTCTGTGGACTGTTTGACATGTGTGCTGTGCCCGTTTGTGTGTGTGCAGGGGAGGTGTTTGTTCTGGATGATGGAGGGGAGGTGGACCTGGACCTTGGGAACTACGAGCGCTTCCTGGATATCCGACTCACCAAAGACAACAACCTGACCACGGGGAAGATCTACCAGTATGTCATCAACAAGGAGAGGAAGGGAGACTATCTCGGCAAAACGGTCCAAGGTAATGCAAAGCTTGTTTTCTGGTCCTTAGAAATACATCTTGTAGTTCAGTCCTGGCTGGATGTCTTTCATCTTCATTTGAGGCTCTGCACAATCCTTCATGTTGGGACTGTGCTGGCCTTGGGTCCAGCTGTGTAATGTAGCCAGTGATAACTGTGAGCAGATATACAGCTGGGGGTTGGTTGTAAGCTGGATAAAATGGTTATTGGTTTTGGTAACTGTCGTGTCTTTAGAGAACCCAGAGGATCTTTGAGGATCAGATCAGTCCCTTTCCTTCTTAACCAATCTCCACAGCTGGTTTGCACTAGGACTTTTACAAACAGTTAAAAACAGAGTAACTCTCTCTGCTTAGAGCAAAGAACAGTTTGTACTTGAATCTTTTAGCTTAAAGGAAGTGTTACTTACATGCGTTTAAATTGAGGCAGGATTCCATTTCCTGCCAAGGCCCTTGAAAGTCACAGCCAAGAATAATCACTTGAAAAATGCATAGTTCTTTAAAGACACAGACCCCTGCTCAAGCCATATGAGAAGCCCTGGCTGGTGATTGTCAGTAATTTGCTCTGTAATGAGTTAAGAGGGAGAAATGCATGCATGGCGGGGCTTTAATCCTTGCCTGGCTTTCTTTTCCAGTCGTTCCCCACATCACAGATGCCATACAGGAATGGGTAATGAGGCAGGCACGGATTCCTGTGGATGAAGATGGCATTGAACCCCAAGTTTGTGTGATCGAGGTTTGTACCTAGTAAAAAACTGATAATTTTGCTTCTTGTATGGAGTAAACTGAACCATGTGTGTATTTTGCATAGTAAATTTTCTTCACAGAAATGTTCCACTTTGCGTGTTATTGAATGGGTTAAAAATCTCCCTTGGTAACTTGACTTACTGGGACTAATCTTTTGAATTGCAGCACTCTCTGTGAGCAGTGACAGGACCCTAGAGAAGAACATGAAGCTGTTTCAGGGGAGGTTTTTGTTGGATCTCAGGGAAAGGTTCTTCCCCCAGAGGGTGCTTGGCACTGCCCAGGCTCCCCAGGGCAGTGGGCACAGTCCCAAGGCTGCCAGAGCTCCAGGAGGGTTTGGACAACGCTCTGAGGGACAGAGTGGGATTGTTGGGGTGTCTGTGCAGGGCCAGATGTTGGACTGGATGATCCTTTTGAGTCCCTTCCAGCTCAGGAAATTCTATGAATTAACCTCTAGAATGAATTTTAGCTCTTGTAACTTAATATGCCAAAGTCTGAGTTAATCGTGCTGTGCCCTCTTCTTCCTTGGTGGGTGGAGGGAGAGCAGGTAAATCTCCCTCTGGAAAGGGTTGTCTTTTCCTCTCAGCAGTAAAAGGAGCCTTGGAGTGACCAGTTCAAACGTAGACCTAGGACAGGGAATGGCACGAGTTAGCGGTGACAAAAACGTGCAGTTTCCAGTGTGTTTATGGAATGTTTCTGCTGCCAAAGGAGATGCAGTAGGGCAAAGACTGAGACTGCTGGGATATGCTGACACAGGAGAGGGAGCTTGTCACAGTGCCCAGGTCATGGTGACTTAGGGCTCTGCCTGCAGTTTGAGTGCCAGTGTGTGTGCCAGGATCACAAACCCAGGTCTGAAGTGCTTAGGAGACTCTGTCTCCCAAGGGATGGAAGGCTCCAAGTCTTGTCTTTGTTCCTGCCTTTGTATAAGCACACTGTATAGTTCCTAAAACTTAGCAGAAATTTTGCTTCTCAGTGCCACCTAATTTTCATAAATCGTAATTTTAACATCTAAATCTTTTCCCTGAAGAGAAAGTAGAGGTAAAGCTGATGTCTCTGGAGAGGTGCTGCCCATATCAGAAGCTGTTTTTCTTGTGGCTTTTTGATTTTTGGGGAAATGATGAAGGTAAAATAATAGTTGGAGTAGGTTGGAGGCTGTGGAAGTAGTGCACAGAGGTGGCAAATTCTGGTGCTTCGCATGGAATAGGATCACAGAATATCCTGAGCTGGAGGGGACACAAAGACTATCCAGTCCATCCCCTGGCCTTGCACAGACACCCCAACAATCTCACCCTGGCCCTCAGAGCGTTGTCCAAACCCTCCTGGAGCTCTGGCAGCCTTGGGGCTGTGCCCACTGCCCTGGGGAGCCTGGGCAGTGCCCAACCAGCCTCTGGGGGAAGAACCTTTCCCTGAGATCCAACCTGAGCCTGCCCTGGCACAGCTCCAGCTGTTCCCTGAGTGCTGTCCCTGCTCACAGAGCAGAGCTGGGTGCAGCCCCTTGGGAGGAAGCTGTGTTTGTGTTGATGCTCCTTTGGGGAATCAGAGGGAGGTGCTGGGGAGATGTTTGTGTGTTGTTATGTATATTTTCCTGTGCTGTAGCATAGAACTTCCAGGTGATGTTTTGGTACTAAATTCTGCCTGTGTGTGTGTGTTCCCAGCTCGGGGGCACGGTGGGGGACATCGAGAGCATGCCCTTCATCGAGGCCTTCCGCCAGTTCCAGTTCAAAGCCAAGAGAGAGAACTTCTGTAACATCCATGTCAGCCTCGTTCCCCAGGTAAAACATTTCGGGGCTCAGAGGCTTCCTCAGTCCAAAACTTGCTTCCTCAAATAGGTGTTTCTGGAGTGCTGTACTTCCAGGTGCTGTTCCTTTTGTATTTCTATGCAGAAATGCAGAGATTACGTGGTTACCTATTAAGTCTTACAGGAAGTGAACAGAAACTTTTAAAAGTGTGCAAATATGTAATAAAGGCTTGGGAGTTGCAGCAAGTGCAGTTTTGCATCTTTAACTGCTGTTTTTTTCTCTATGGAATTGTCTCCTAGCTTTTGCAGGTAAACTTGATCTCCAGGGCTGAAAGCTTTCATTTTCATTTCCTTTGCATGGCCTGTAAAGCTACTTCATGGCCATTTAGACATTAATAAGATTATATTCCAACCTCTTCCTGGAGTTCCATAATATTCTTGTTTCTGTTTGCTTTCCCTTTCCCCCTGCAAGATTTACATTAGCTGTTGCTCATGAAATATGCTTTGTTACTTCTGAAATTTGAAAATATAATATTTTGAAAGAAAATCTGTTTGGTTTTTTTGCCCTAGACCATATTTTTAATGTGATTTGATCTTTAACAGTAATTTCATAGACTCTCACATCTGACTGCTGTGTGAGCCGTAACAATCTGAGGGGCTCTTGGGTCAAAGATAAATCTAAGAAAAGGTATTATGAAGTGGTGCTTTGGTAAGAATCAGTTAATTAGGAATCACAAATCAAAACGAAGTATCTTTGTGTGCCAAGCAGGTGAGGTGAACTCCAGTTAATACCAAAAGCTTATGAATGTCCTTTATGCCATATAATGCCTGATATAACCTCAGCTGTATTATCTGCTCTGGTTTTGGAGACAATTTGCAGTCCTAGATAAACAAAAAAAAATCTCTAGTGCAGGAGTCATTGCTGAAAAAAATTTTCTGTGGTTATGCTAAATTTGGGAGAGCATGAGCATTCCTTGTGTTGGAACTGCATTTGACAGAGCAGATTGATAGTTCCTGGAGTACGGGGCAATCTTTGTTCTCTTCTCTCTCTTTCTGCTTCTGTCCAGGCCATGTGATTTACAGAGAAAAATATAAAATATTAGGTATTTGTCAGAAGCAGTGGATAAACCTCTGTCCCTCTCCTTCCCATACTCCAGTGCAGATCTGCTTACTGGGCAGAACTGGGACTGAGGTTTCTGCTGGTTGCTTTCAGTCTCGGAAATTAAAAAGGCAGCACACAGGGGTGCATAAGATTCATGTGATTTGTCCAAGAACTGAGGCAAAGCTTTTGCAAGATTAATAGAGTGGAGAGTCCCGATTAGCCTGATGAATCATTGCTGCATATCATCATCATCTGACATACCAAATCCTGCTGTTCTCTGCCCAGCCAAGCTCGACAGGAGAGCAGAAGACCAAACCCACCCAGAACAGTGTTCGTGAACTCCGAGGTCTTGGTCTCTCCCCAGATCTGGTAAGGTTTGCTCACGGCTTGGAATTTAAAAAGGCACTTCTGGCATGTTGCAACAACATTCTTGTCTAAGTAATGCTTAAGTTGAGAGCTCTTGTGTACTGGTGATAAAAAAGGAAAAGTGACTGAGTTGGTCTGTTTTTCCTCACATCAGAGGCTGCACAAAGTCAGCTCTTTTTCCAGGTTTATTGTATGAATGCCTGAGTACTTGTGTTGGGCCTCACAGCCCTGATGTTGCTGCTCTGTTAGATTGTTTGCAGGTGCTCCACTCCACTGGATACCTCAGTAAAAGAAAAGATTTCCATGTTCTGTCATGTTGAACCAGAACAGGTAAAGATTGTTTTCTGCACTTCCTTGCAGTGAATATTCCAGCTGTTTGTCAAACACTGAGGGGAGTTTTATCTGAGTGTAGTGGTTTTCTGTTCTAGCTCTGTGTTTTGGTAGCTGCATAATTCATGTACTGCTTTGTCTTACCTACCTTCCTTACACATGGACCTGGTGCTAAACCAATCCTTTCTGTGCCAGTACTCAGGTTTTCTTATAAAGTAGTGTAAGCTTAGAGAATTCAATGGAATCCAAGGTAATTTCTGAACACCTGTTTTGACTTTATTTATCCTTCCACTTTCCTTCTGTATTCAAGAAGAATGAGATTTTCCAGTATTTAGAGGCCAAAGAGTTGCCCAAAATTAGGTTTAAAGGATACACGGCTGTGTTTCATACACTGCTCTTCTGCCCAAGATTTCATGAGAAGAGATTGCACTGAGAAATCGAGATGGGATTTGGGAGCATTGCTTTACTTGAATGTTACATACGTGCAGAAATTCCATGTTAGCATGATCCTTCTTATACTGAGACTCAGAGCACAGTCTGGGGTGGACCTTGGAAAATAATCAAAAAGTCTGTAGGCTGAATATTAGCACTTTCCAATCCAACTGGAGCTTGAAACATTTTGTCTTTTTGTGAATGATTTGAGTGTCACTTCCCATCCCAGGTTCTGTCAAGTCATTTTAATTAATTTGCTCTACAACAAGACCAAACTTGAGCCCTGTGCATTCAAGCACTGCATTCAGAAGTAGCTGGCAATAATGTTGATGTGTCATCAGCACAATATCTACCTCGTGTTGGCCAGGAACTCAAAATAAGTTGGCCCTTGTCACTGTCTGGGAGGTTTAATGCAGCTCTATGTAGTGGTTGCTCTGACTGCAGTTGCATTTGGATTGAGCAGGAAACAGCCCTGGCTGCAGAGGAGGAAAATGTGCAGCCAGGGGGGTTTGACTGATGCAGTGTTGAACTCTGCTTTCATTTGAGTCAGGAGAAATGAGGATTTAAAAATAGTTGTGCCAGTGTATTTTGGATCCCTAAAGTACAGCCTCTTTCTTGATGGACAGGTGACAGTTGTCCAGAGCCATATTTTCCAAGGAAGCCCATTTCAGTGAAGTAGAACTGTTGATGCAGGTTTTCCTCATCGACCTAAGAATTCTTTGCTCTTAATTGTTTAATCCTAAATTGGATAAAGGACATCCTGTAAAATGTATTGCTGTATTGGGATCACAGATTTCCCTGGGTTTAAATCAATCTGGGAGCCCTGGTTAGGAAGGACAGTGGAAGGAAGCAGGAAGCTGGGCTTGTGGCAGTTTGGCTGTAGTTTCAGTTGGGATTCTGTATCCAGGAGTCTCTTTGAAGTGTTCTTTGAACTTTGCTGTGTATTCACAAAACTTGCCAAGCAGCTGTGCCTTTCCTGCTGCTGGATTACTGTGTTATAGCTCCTTCCCAAGGAGCTCCAGGGAGCAGTAATACCTGGGAACTACTGCAAGAGGGCCTTTCCAAGCATATGGAAACTAATATGAAGCTATTCCTGTGCTGCTCTGTTATTAAACACATGTTATTGCCTGGAAGTTTAGGTGTTTCTCTGCTAGAGACAGGAACACTCTGAATATCTGTCTAAAAACAGTTGCCCAGGCACTGAATTCCTGTGTTTTAATGGCACCTGTGCTTTATGAACAGGTCATCTGTGTTCATGATGTCTCCTCTATCTACCGGGTTCCTCTGTTGTTGGAGGAGCAGGGGGTTGTTGACTACTTCAGGCACAGGCTGGACCTTCCCATCGAGAGGCAGCCCAGGAGGATGCTCCTCAAGTGGAAGGAGATGGCTGACAGGTGAGCTGGGCTGGAGTTCAGGCTGTAGGTTGGTGTCTCTTCTTGGCTGTTGGTGGTGAGGGGATGAGTGTTACTTCCTGTTCCTCAGGTGTTCTTATGTGCTCACATTGTTCTTTCCTCTTTGCTCAGAGCCCCATCCAAACCTTGAATGTTTCCAGGGATGAGGAATCCTCAGCTTCTCTGGACAACCTGTGCCAGTGCTTCACCACTCTCACTGTAAAAACGTTCATCCTCATCTCTAGCCTAAATCTGCCCTCTTTTAGGTTAAAACCATCACCCCTTGTTGTAGCACAACAGCCCTACTGAAAAGTCTCTCCCCATCTCTTTCATAAACCCTCTCCCTCAAAGGCTGCCATAAGGTCTCCCTGGAGTTTTTTTTCCTGCAGGCTGAACCACCCCAGCTCTCTCAGCCTTTTTCCATAAAATCCTGTGAGACAAATTTCCTGAGGTCCTTATCTTGTGTTGGTGGTGTCCTGTCTGTGTCAAACCCTGTCTGAAGTAATTAAAAGCTGGACAGCTCTGCCCTCCCTTTTTATTCAGAAAACTCTCATAACATTACAAAGTGTCGAAATCTTTTGTAGGCATACGGAGACATCAGGAATGTCAATAAAAAGTACCTTTGAGTGTGCTTTCAGGCAGGTGAGACAAGTGTTTGGTACCTGTTCTGTCTGAGAATCCCTGGACACTGGATTTTTTTCTTGTGAGGAGTAGACTCCATGTTTGGGGGGAAATAGTGAACAGAGTCTTTTCAGTTGACATTCAGGCCCTTTCTGAAACCTTTGTCTCCTTATAAGAGATTAGTTTTCAAGATCTAGATGTTTCCCTTTATTTCTGTGCCTGACACAAGCCAAGCCTGTCAGTAACACTCCCTTTTGATGGGGAAAGCCCTTGGTACCCAATGGGTTGAAGGTAGCTGGCAGTTCTGAGATAAACACTAAACCAACTCTTGACTGTGGCCAGGAATGCTGTGTAAATCCAGTGCTGCCAGGTGCTGGGGAATGCAGGTGTAGGCAGCACAGCCCCCGGACTCCAGAATTCCTTTCTGTGTTTGCAGCTGCTGAAGTGAACTCAGTCAGCAGCACCGTGGGAAGATCCTGTGCAGTACAAACACACATGGAGTTGTGCTTTGATCCCCGTCACTGCAGCCTTTGAATGTAATACAGCTCCCTGAAAACACAGTTTGGTTTGGATCTGCTCAAAATGGCTTTTCAGCATAAGGAGAGATGAGTTAATTTATATGTGGCTTTCTGCAACTGCTTTCCTCTGTCGTTGCTTTGGTTTTGATCTTACTTTGATGTGTTTAAATCATAATTATTATAAAAGGTCACTCTTTCAGAGTTGTCAGCTCTGCTGGACAGACTTTGAAGAGCCCAGCTCTTTGTTCCTTGAAAAGCTGAACAGAATGTAAGTGAATCTCATCCTGTTTCTGATGGAATAACCCTTGTGTTCTGGTTTGCTGTAGGTATGACCGTCTGCTTGAGACGTGTTCCATTGCACTCGTGGGCAAATACACCAAGTTCTCCGACTCCTATGCGTCTGTCATCAAGGCCCTGGAGCACTCTGCACTGGCCATCAACCACAAACTTGACATTAAGGTGGGGCTGGCTCTCTGTGTGTAGACAAAATTCCCCCCCTCACCCATCTTCCTTCCACCTGCAGCGCTGCCCATCCTAATTCAGATACTCACAAACCCAGAGACAGGAAAGGAGAAGTTCCAAATTGTCCCTGGGTTACAGCATCTAAACAGCTGTTGTCAGGCCTAAAATGGCTTCAGAGCAAACCAGCCTCTCGTGCTGTGAGCTGTACGAGGTGTCTGTAATGGATGGAAGCTCCTCAGTGCTCAGGATTGAAGGAAGGCACTGTCTGCTTTAATTTCTGACATTTGTTGCAAGTGAGCCTTTTTAGGGTTTTTGCCATTAACCTTGTGGTATTCACAGCTTTTATATGCTCCTGCCTCAGGCTTTATTAAGGTTTTCATGCTGTTTTGACTGCATAGGTGCTTTTAGGGGTCTTGGTTGTAGCTGGATGCTCTGAAGAGGTGAAACATGTGTCTGTTGCCAGAAATTTTACTTTCATTTAAATATACTTTTTTTAGTGTTCATCAGTCTTATGTTGCCAGTGAGTCATTGAAATAGGTGGTTGCTTTATAACAGCACTGGTCTAGGTTTGGGCTACCTTTCAGCTTCCAAAATCAGTCAGTAGAGGTGAGAAGAAAAACAAGTAGGACTGGTGAAGTGCAAACCCTGCATGAGCAACTGTGGGTAGTCCCTGACACAGCTGTATCTGAGTGGTTCAGGAGGGGAGTGAGTTCTGCAAGCCTTGTATGTGGAGATCTTATGTTAAAGAACTGATTAGCAGTAGTTAGTTAAAGAACTGACTAGCAGTACTGCAACCTCCCCTTCCCAAAAAAACCCCAAAAAACAAGACAACAAAATGGTTGTTTTAAAGGGTTAACAGCCTGCCAGAACATCCAGAAGTTGAGGTACTGGAATACTGGAGATGAGACGCTGGAAAAATTGCAGGCGTTTTTTCCATGTCCATGGCACCCTTTAATTACAGAGGCCTGTGTTTTACCATATCCTATTTCTTCTGCAGTGCTGCTTGAAGAGGATGCATATTTGAGAGAGTGATCCAGTTTTTTCTTGCTGTGTGGTGGTTTGTGTCTGTGTGGCCCCATGTTCCCACCTCACTGTGCTCCATTCACACCTCACATTTAACATTAGAGTCTGGGATTCTTGTCACAGCAGAGCTGCAGAGAGGGGAAAAAAGAATCCTGGTTTCTCTTTGTGCATTGGTGGTAGGATGGTGGGGAAAGCAGTTTTGTTGGCTGACAGGTGGGAAATCAGCCCAGAAAAAACACAAGTATCCATTAGGAGACAAATGCAGAGCTCTCCAGGAGGAATGATGCTATCTTAATTTAATGAAAATTCAGGAGATGCTGTACACTCCTGTGGCAGTATCTCATCATTCTGTTTTTGGATTCCTTCCCAGTACATTGACTCTGCTGACCTGGAGCCCGACACGCTGCAGGAGGAGCCCGTGCGGTACCACGAGGCCTGGCAGAAGCTGTGTGGGGCTGAGTAAGGCTCTCCTTCCCTGGCCATTTCCTGGGAGCATGGCTGAGAAACCTGCTGTTATTGACAGCTTTGGGATCAAGGGCCTCCCTGGAGACTCTTTCCTTAGGCACTGCACCAGCACTGACGTGGCCCCACACACCTCTGGGGACACTGAGGATAAGATGTTAAATGGAGAATTGTTAAATAAGTGAGGGAGGTGGTGAAAGGCAGCAGTGGGGGAAATGATCAGTGCAGGTGAGGATGTGCCCAGACTCACTTGCATGATCAGGGGGAAACAGGGTGAGAGGAGATAAGGAGAAAGGAAAGGTCCTGATAAAGGCTGTAAAAGCCAGAGTGGGAATGGAAGGTGTAAATGGGGTATAAACTACTTTAAAGTGTGAGAAGGTAGGATGCAGAGGAGTGCCAAGACTTAGCACAAGGGGGGCCTGTTACCCCTCAGGGTTTGGGTGGGATCAGGAGAACAAAGAACCTCCTGCAGAGTTTGGTGTTAGGACAGCCTGACACTGCAGCCAGTGACTTCCTCAGCACAGGCCTGGCTGGGTGGTGTGTCTGCAAACAGGTTTGGTGCAGAGCATGAGTCCCACGACATGAACCATTCCAGTATGGTAACCTGTGTTGTATTTGGGATCTCTCTTGGGAGGGTAAAATTGGCATTTATAAAATATTTCGCTGACAGTTCAGTGACATTTTATGTGACTGTTCATGTGGAGCCATATGGAAATGGTGCTGCAGCCAGGCCCTGCCATGAAGGCTACTTCAGAGCCCTTTTCAGGAGGGAGGTCTTGCAAGTCCAAGTTTTTATGCGAGGGAGGTGGTACATGGGTTTGGGGGAAGCACACTGGTGAGCCCATGTGAATGGACTCTCTTCATCCTCATGCAGTGGAGTTCTGGTTCCTGGTGGATTTGGTGTTCGAGGAACAGAAGGCAAAATTCAAGCTATTTCCTGGGCAAGAAAACAGAAAAAACCCTTCTTAGGTGAGAAACATGCTTCATCCTCAAGAAGAAATAAAGCAAGGAAGGAGGTTGAATAACAGCAAGAGCTCCCTTGGTTTTCATTGGTGTGCAGTTGTGAGGGCTGAGGAGGACAGGAATCTGTGCTCAGCTGAACTGGGAATGCAGCCTCATCCCCAGTGAGCTCTGAAGTGGTTGGAGTTGGCTGGGATGGGTGACAAGGAATCTCTGTAATGAGGGGGTGGGAGTCTCAGAGGAAGTTTCAGAGGAGGCTGTAGGGATCTTGGCACCAAGAAACTTGTGACTGCATTTCAGTGAAATGGCTGTGGTGAGAGACTGGAACGGAGGTGTGAGTAGGGCGTGGGGAAAGGGAGGGCAGGGAAGCTGGTCAGGGCACAGACCCCTAAATCCCAGTCAAGGTCTGCCTCATCCAGGTGTTCCTCTGGCTCGGGATGCTCTGTGAAGGTGTGTGTGCTTTGCACTATGGGCTCAGAGGTGCTTGTCCTGATGATCCATGTGCTGCCCTTCCCTCTGCAGGAGTCTGTTTGGGAATGCAGTTGGCCGTGGTGGAGTTTGCTCGCAGTGTTCTTGGCTGGCAAGGTAATGGCACAAAACCCTTCCTGCCTTCTGCTCGTTTCTTGGATTGCTTGAGTAATACCTGTGATTGTTTTTTTTTTTAAATACCTGTAACTTTTAATGTTTCCCATCTCCTTTGCTAATTCAAAGGAGAAAGAACAATTGCTTTCTGAGCTCCACTGCTTGGACTGGGTGGGTCCCTGTTAACAAAATTCTGTTCACAGAGTGCTAAATTGAGTTCTCAGCCTGACTCTGAGTCTCACCAGGAGTGAGGGTGGGGAAGAGGTGTTTCTTGGAGCATTCTGCTCCTTCCTTCCCTACCTTTATTTCTGTATTTGAAGCTGTTGAATGTGTGTTTTTCCTGAATGACCCTTGTTGTTCATCAGTGACTGCATGAGGTGGGTTGCCCCAAGATTGCAGCCTCTGAAATGGATACCAGGCAGTGCTGACAGCCCCATTCCTGCTGCCTGGGATGAGCTCTGTGCCTGTGAGGGGCTCAGCACGGTTGGGGATGGGAAGCAGCCGAACCTGGGGCAGGTCTGTAAGTGCCTGTTGTGGTGTGAGGGAATTTGTAATTGCTGAATGTTATGTTGCAGATGCGAACTCGACAGAATTTGACCCCAAAACTGCTCATCCAGTGGTGAGTTTATGGTGATTTGCTTGTAATATCCTTACATACTGTGTCAGACTGCTCTGCACATCCCTGGGCACGTTTGTTCAGAGCAGCTGGGGCTGCCCCATCCCTGGAAGTGTCCAAGGCCAGGTTGGACGGGGCTTGGAGCAACCTGGGCTGGTGGAAGGTGTCCCTGCCCATGGCAGGGGATGGAACTGCATGAGCTTTAAGGTCCCTTTTAACCCAAACTGTTCTATAATAGTCATAATGAATTCCTTGGAACACTGGTGGACAGATTTTTGAGTCTGCATTTCTTAATCTGCAGACTCTGTGTGCCTCATGCAGTGTCCACCATAATGATTCTTCTGCTAGAATTCAGAGTACTACTAAAAAGGAGAAAGTCCTCAAAAACCAACCTGTGAAGTTATTTATCAAAGTATAAGTGATTGGGGGTTTTGTTTCTGTAATTTGCTGGTGTGTTTAACATGTAGTTCAGTAAATAGCACAGAACTGGTGTGTGGGATCTGTGTAGACTCTGACTTAGGCTGTTTCCTATGGGAAAGCTTCCTGAAAAGCCTTCCATATGTTCTGTGCAACCTTTACTAGAGTAACTTGGCCAACTAACCTAGTTCTATTGGTCTGCCTTGTCAAGACAATGTTTCTTGGGGTGGTTTGCTTGTTTTTTGCATGAATGTTGGTGGGGTTTTTTCCCTTTAATGTTTCAGAGTCTGCCTGGGACTGTTATTCCTCCCCCATTCCCACCTCCCTCTCCGAATGTTTTTCACAGGTCATAGACATGCCAGAACATAATCCTGGGCAAATGGGTGGGACCATGAGGCTTGGCAAGAGGAGGACACTCTTCCAAACCAAGAATTCAATCATGAGTAAGGCACTTCTTCCCTCTTCTGGAAATGTTTCCTGGGAATGGCATGCATGTGTGGTGGGTATGGGGAAGTTAGACCTGGGAATGTTAAAGCATCCTTAAATGGCAGGTGTTCAGACTGTTCCAGCAGGGAAATGGAAATGGGGGAATTTAGTCCCCTCCAGAAGTGTCAGGTGCTGATGGATGCTGTTCATATGGATGTGTTCAAACTTGGTATCACTGCTCTAAGGAACATCTTCCTCTTGGTGCAGGGAAGCTGTATGGAGATCATGATTTCTTGGAAGAGAGACACAGACACAGATTTGAGGTAAAAATGCTCTGGTAGGTATTGAGCTTTTCTGTGTGATCCAGACACAAGAAAGAGATCATGGCTTTTCTTGCCTCTGCTCTTCTAGGTCAATCCAGAATTGAAAAAGTGCTTTGAAGAACAAGGTCTGAAGTTCGTAGGGCAGGATGAGGAGGGAGAGCGGATGGAAGTGGTTGAGCTGGAAGGTGAGTCCTTAAGCAGTTGTTTTGTGGGTGTGGGATGGACAAGGGAAAGTGGTTGGAGGGTAATTGAGCAGGTTTTTTTGTGGGACCAGACCAGACTCTCTGAGTGATTCCATCCATGAAATGACAGTAAAAAAGAATCCCATGTGCTGTCCATTAGAGACAGAAGGCAGGATAGAAGTGACGCTTCCCCATCAGCAGGGCTTCAGCATGATCAGCATTTCAGCTGCAGCTCAGCCACAGGCTTGAGAGATGTGACCTGAATGTTTTGTTTGTTCCCCCCAGAGCATCCTTTCTTCGTTGGTGTTCAGTACCACCCCGAGTTCCTCTCCAGGCCCATCAAGCCATCGCCCCCATACTTTGGGCTCCTCTTGGCATCTGCAGGGAGACTCACCCATTACCTACAGAAGGGCTGCAGGCTCTCACCCAGGTGGGTTTAAGGACCCTGCTCAGCCCTGTCACAGGACAGTGCTGCTTCCTGCACAATAGACTGGAAAATCCTCTTGGCACAAATTTACTGGGGATAACTGGTGGTGTTGCAGCACCTCTTCTTTCCACTCTTTCTTTGAAGGCTCTTGTCTGGTGTGCTGGGGCTGACTGGGACCACAGAGCTGTCTCTGGCTTCAGGGAGAGGAGACCTGCAGCCTCATGCTGCAGGTCAGGGGTGTTTGGGGAAACTGAGGCAGGGCCTTGTCTTTTAAATGAGTGGAGACCTCGTGGCTTTTCCTCATGTTCCTCATACAAGTCCCAGGTACAGGTTGGTCTGTAAAAACTTGTTCCTGCTGCTGGTTTAAAGAACAGGTCCTGGTGGTTGCAGCTGACTTCTCCTGACTTCAACTTTCTTCGTTTCAGTTTGCAAAGCAGCTGATGTTTTGGGTAGGTTTAGTGGTGCAGTTACTTGTGCTGCTGCTCCCCAGTGCCTGCAGTTCTGCTCAGCACTTGGGCACTGAGCAACAAACACCCACCACGTGGTGGAGACCCTTCTCCTCCTCCCAGAGAACAGTGAGGAGCTGCTGAGTGCTGACAGGCACTAAACAAAAAAAGACTGAATGCCAAGGAGAATTAGCACTGACTGTGTCAAACCCAGGCAAGTGCAATGCCCAGAGGAAAGTGTTGCCTTGTGTGCTGAGCTGCAGTGCAGCTGCACCACGGGATTCCTGGTTGGTGTTGGCAGCAGGGCAGTCAGGTGAGTGTGTCAGGGGTACTCCAGGGGAGCTTCTTGTGTGATGGTCACTCACTTCAGTGAGGGTTGAGGGATATTTTAATTACCTGCTTTTGCACATTTGAGTTTGAAATGGCTCCTCACAGCAGAGGAGCTGAAGTTTTCTCTGTGCTGCAGCATCCCACTGCTCTGGGAGTCTCTTGTGTTGTGGTCACAAATAGTTTCGTGGCTGGCATGTAACCTAAAAGTATTGGTGGCAGTTCTAGGCCTGTGCTCCCTGTTCTTCCTGTCATCACTTTTTCCAGTGGGTGTCATTGCCCTGGGATGAGGCTGGGCAATGGAGCAGGGGGGCAGCAGGAGCCTCACGAGGCTCAGCAAGGGTAAATGCAGAGTCCTGCATCCAGGAATCCCTCACAGTGACAGGGGCCAGGACTGGGCAGGGACAGCTCTGCTCACCAGGGACTGGGGAACAGCAAGGGAATGGGAAGCAGCAGTGGGCAAGGGCAGTGAAGGAGGGACAGATGGACAGCATCCTGGGCTGCCTGAGGAGGGATGGATGCATGGACAGCATCCTGGGCTGTCAGAGTGAGCACAGCCAGGAGATGGAGAGAAGTGATTGTGTCTCTTGGCATTTGTTAAGAGACCCCATCAAGAGCATTCTGTGCAGTTTGGGATTGCCCAGCACAAGTCAAACATGGATCAGTTGGAGAGGGGTTAGCAGAGAGCTGCTGGGAATAGGAAGCTCAGGAGGATGGAGAACTTGGCCAGTGAGCAGAGGCTGAAGGAGCTGGCCTTGCTCAACCTGGAGAAGGGAAGGTTATGGGGGACCCAAGAGCAGCCTGACGACACTGGCCAAAATGTTATCAAAGATGAAAGCAGGATCTTTACAGAATGTGACAGTGATTTAATTAATTTCATTTAGAGTAACTTTGCCTTTCAAAATGCCTGTTACATGTGTAATCATCTTAATTGACAAACCTCAAAACGGGTGCTGACCCAGCCCTGTTTCCTAAGGGGTGGCTACACTGGGAATTGTGTGTGCTCTGCTGTTCCCCCTGAGCTGGCAGCACTCACACCAAGCCTCCTGCCTGCTGGTGCAGCTCTGGGTCCTCAGACACTTGTGCTCTCTCACCCACCCTGTGCCCCTGCAGGGACACCTACAGCGACCGCAGCGGCAGCAGCTCCCCCGACCTGGAGATCACAGAGCTCAAGTTCCCCTCAGTCAATCACGACTGATCCCTGGTAATGTTTAATGATCTCAGCCTCTTCCTTGGGGAAAAAATTACTTGCCCAGTCTTTTCTCCTGGCATCTGACTTGCACATTGTTTGGTGGAAGGCTGGCAGGCGGTGGGGTGTGCTGGTGCTCACACCCGTGTTCCAGCTGTGCTGAGGGGTGGGCAGTGCCCCTGGGGAACAGATGGGGGTGGTGTTCCCTTAGCAAACTGACACATAATGAAGTATAAATACACAGGCAGGAGTTTGGGATTAAATTCAGGTTAAGAACCAGAGCACCAGTGGAGCACACACTCCTGAAAATGGGGGCAGAACTGAGCAAGGGGTTCCTGGATTTAGGAAGCTCAGTATTTTGGAAGCAGTCTCTCACTGATGTCAAAGAACATCTTGGAAGTAGCTGTTCTGCCCATCTTCTGGGACAGCAGTTCTGTCAGACCAGGGGCTCAAGCTCTGGTCTGTAATGGCTGCAGATGTGAAAAATGGAGGTGCACAATCCAGGGAAGGAGGGGACACTAAAACCTGGCACTCAGACTGCACCAGCAGGACAGGCAGACTTAAATGTCAAGGGAGTTCTCCCTCTGTGCAGTAGATGATCATGGATGTGACCTTTTCCTGCTCTGGCTGGTCCGTGTGCTGGTTTTGGAGGAGTTGAGCAGCATCTGTGGACAAGCCTGTGGGGTGAGAGGAGGCTCCACTGCTGAGTGCCAGGGGACCCTCCTCCCCCTTCCCTTGGTCTGACAGGCACGTCCAAACTGCAGAGGGAAAGCAGAGTCGGCCCCTGTCTGGCACAGGAGTGCTCCTCACCCCTGGGCACAGGACTGGCACTGGATGCTGGGATCACTGGGTGCTGGGCTCTTCCACAGCCTGGTACAATACTTAAGAGCTGAAGAATTCTCCCTGTAAATTTTTATCCTAAAGACACCGTGAACCTTTGGCTCCCTGACAGCATCCTATGTGCTCTGGAGGCTTGGGGGCTGTCCCCAGATGAAGCTGTAGGAGAGGGGCAGTGGCAGTATGGGGTATCCCCAGGGACATGGCTCAGCCTGACTCCAGTGCTGTGCAGCTCCAGCCTGTGGCTCTCTCCTGTCAGTAACTCCTGCTCCTTTTCCCTCTCCAGGTGTGTCCTTGCTGCAGAGAGGAGTCTCCGTTCGGTTTTCCAGGCGTTCTTACAGCAATAGCTTCAACACCCTCAGCTTTGGGCTTTCCTGGCTTATGGGTTTATAATTTTCATTCTGAGATCCTGTCCCTTATTTCCTCAGCTCTTCTGTCCTTCCTTTATTTTCCATGTAGATCCTGGTTATTTGTGGAGGAGAGTTCACACAGGCTCCTCCAGACTTCTTCAGTTCCTTCAGTTTGCACCAGCTTGGAGATCAAAGCAAACTGGGGCATGGGGTTTGATGTGGGGGGGAATCCCATGGCACACGTCCTTCCCAGCACAGGGAATGCTGGCATCAGGGTGCCTTGGACACTGACAGTGGATTTGCTTTCTCCAGCCTTTCTGCTTCCTCCTCACTCTTTGCTTACTAGTGAAATTATGTGGATGGCACAAGTTTTTGGGGTTTGGCTCAGTGCCTGAGCCAGGCTGCGCTGCAGAGGAGGGCTCTGGGCTGGGCAGGCTCATGCAGCCTTTTTGAGGTTTTTTGGGGGGGAAAGAAGGATGATTTATTCTTTTTTGGTTTTGTTTTTTTTCAGTAGTATTTACAAACCTTTGGCACTGGTGCTCTCAGTGCATTCATTGCCACAATGAATTTGTAATCAGGAAACTTCTCCTGGAACAGTGTTACTCTGGAACACGATCAGCTCTGCCTGACGTGTCACTGCAGGGATGTGAGTAACTGGGATCAAGTTGGGGGGGTGGAAAGCAAAGCTGCCAGGAAAGCCCTGACCCGAGGGGTCCGTGCTCCTGGAGCTGCTCCTTGGGTTGGGACCCTCCCACCCCTTGCATCAAGGGGGAGGTGAGAACAGTGAACCACTGAACCACTTCCACTGCTGCCTTGAGCTGCTCCTGCTGTCCCTGGACACAACAGTTCCTGGTGCTTTTTCATGGATTGGAAGCAGAGCCTTCCACTGCCTTTTTGTACAGTCGGAGCCGTGTGTCCTGTGCTCCCGCCATTCCCAAGGGCTGTTCCTGAGGGAGGGTGTTCCCCATCCCCAGGTGCTGCCCAGCTCTGGGGCAGGGTGATGCTGTGCAGTGCTGAGGGATGGACTCCCTGGTTCCCTGCCTCGTGCTGCCGTGGAACACCGTGTTTGGCCGGTGGGGATCAAGAGGAAAGGAAGGAAGGAATGAAGTGTCTGCACTGTCTGAGGTGTCACACACTCAGAACTCGGCAGGGCCTGGGAGTCTGGGGAGAGCTGCACAGTCAGACCTGGCTGAGCCACGTAACCAAACCCTGTCCTGTCCCTCCTCAGTGATCTCCTCCCCAGCCCCCTTGCTTTAGTCCTTGGTTGTTTTCAGTATTCCCTGTAAAGCTGCTGTGAGCCCAGAGAGCTTTGAGCATTCCTCGTGTGCCAATTCCAGCTGTTCTGGAGGAATGATTGAGTTTGATGCTCTGGTACTGCCCAGCCCCTGCCCTTGGCGTGGGGCAGGGTGAGATTGTTCCTCAGCTGCAGCACAACTGTGTTTCCTTTCTCCCGAGATGTTTTTGTTTTGGCCAAAACTGTGCCACTTACTCGGTCATTAAATGCTCATTTGTAACAAACTGAACCAGGAGCCCCGAGCTCGTTCTGTTCCTGCCCTGCTCGGAGGGAGGGAGGGAAGGGACTGAGGGACAACTCAATTTTAAATGAGTCCTCTCTAAGTCAGGGAAAATTTGTGAGCTGCACTCACAGTGGTTCTAGATGTGGATTTCCAAAGGCTGGCTGAAATCATCTCCCTCCAGCAGCAGAGAAACCTGGGATGAGTCTGCAGGTGCTGCAGGGCAGAGGAGTCACTTCCTAATGGAAGAACGAGGCTGCAACTCCCCGGGAGGGTTTGTCCCTCCTTGCTCCACAGCTGGGGTTGTTGGCCAGACCCCCGTCAGGGCTCCTGCTGTGGGGGTGTGGGGAGGGTCGGCCCCATGGCAGCCCCCGGGGCACGGGCAGTGTACCCAGGGAGGTGGAGGCTCTGCTTTGGTGCCCACCCTGAGCTGCTGCATTTTAGCTCCTGCGCTGGGCAGGCAACAAAAACGAGCACTGAAAGTTGAAGATGCAGTGAAATGTTGCAAATAAATTTGGCCTCTGCAGGGCTTGTTTCAAGGGCTTGAGTTTGATGGCTGTGGGACCTGGCCAAGGCACCGCTGTGCCCCAACAGCGCCGTCCCTTTCAGCCCCAAACGTGGATGGGTCCAGCTGCCACCCGGGCTCTGCTGGTGGGGCCGGGACCCTGCACTGTGACAGCAGCCCCAGGGGTGAGTCTGGGCCAGAGGCACCTCAACAGGGACCCCGCGGTGCCCAGTAAGCCCTGAGGCTGCAGGAGAGACCCGGGGCTTCTGCCCCCTCACCTGGGGCTGGACCAGCCAAGACATTCCAGCACCCACCTCGCTGCCCTCCCTGGGGCTGGGTGTCCTCCCTCCCTCCCTCCAGCAGCCCCTCCGGGCTGTTCCAGGCGCAGCTCGAGCTGGGACACAAACCCCGGCTCAGCACATGGGGTGAGACCCCCCGGCCGCGGTGCTGTGGGGGAGCAGCCCCTGGTGTGGGGCCGGGCCGGGCCCCCTCGGCCTCTGCCCCTCCCGTGGGACGGAGCAGCCCCCCGAGGGCCCACAGGGGCTCTGGGCCGACCTGCCCCAGTGTGGGGTCCGGGCCACGGCACTGCTCTTTTGGGGAGCAAGGTGGGGGCTCAGAGCTCATCGTCCCCCCCTTCTCCTCCCTCCCCGTCTGGCTGCAGGGGCTGTTTGCCCACCCCGGTGCCTCAGGGCTGAGCTGTGCTGGCAGCGATGGGTTCAGGGGCTCGGCTGGGACTGCTCCTGCCCCAACACCCCCTTCAAGCTCCAGACAGGGACAAGGAGTCACAGAAGCCTCTGTCAGCACGGGCAGCACCGCGAAGAGCAAGAGGGGGGTCAGGCTGGGGGGACGGGAGGGGCTGGGCAGAGGTCGGGAGGGCGCGATGGATGTCATCCCATTGCCACCCTGCGAGTGCCTCCGCTTCCCTCAGCCCCGGAGGAAGGGCAGGGAGGGCAGGGAGGGCAGGCAGGGAGCCGCGGGTCTGTCCTGCACCAGCACCCGCTGCCTGTCCCTGCGCCCCCCATGGCAGGTGCCTGTGGGAGCCACTGCAGGGCCCAGCCCAGCGCTCAGTGCACAAACAGCGGGGAGGAACTTGGTATCCTTTTATTAATAAACAGATCAACGTAAAATAAGTGCAGAGGAAAGCACTGGCTGACCCTGCCAGGCCCTGGGTGCAGCAGGACCAGTGCGGGTCACACCGAGGGGTGTCCCAGGCCCAGCACGGGCTACGCTCTGTGACAAAAAGCCTTTTGCCTTTTCATTACTTTGGGCGTTGGGGTAATTTTTTTTTTTTTTTTTTTTTTTTTTTTGCAACTTTGCCCCTTAGGGGTAAACCTGACCCAGTGCAAGAGCCTGGAGGGTTGGTCACCGCGGGGGCCCGTCCTGCCGCTGGCCAGGGCCCTCGAGGCTGGCGGGGGGCGCTGAGCCGTGGCTCCGGATGCAGAGGGTGAGCTGAGGGCAGGAGGAGGAAGTGCTCGGAGTGGAGATCCCGTCCCAGCCCTTTGGTCACTGCAGGGGAGCGTGGCACGGGCGGGCCCGTGCTGGGGGTGTGTGGGGACACAGCGGGGTCAGCCCCCGCCTGCCCCACCAGCCCTGCCTCGGCTCGGCCCGCTCAGGGGTCTGGGCAGCCCCTGCCCCACAGGCAGCCCCGAGCTGGCACTGCTGCCCCGGGGACGGCGCTGGCACAGCCAGTGGCCTCCACACTCCTCGTGCAGCTGCAGGAACGTGTCTGGGACCGCGGGAACCGCTCAAGTGCCATCAAAAATAAATACATTAAACTGCCTGAGACCAACAGGGGCCCCGGGCAGGACAAAGCCCTCACAGGAAGAGCAACATCGGGACGGGTCACCACCCCGGGATCCTCTGGGCAGACCCAACACCCTCTCACACGCTGAGCTGGGACGGACCAAAACTCTAGAGGAGCGGGAGTGCCCCTGGGAAGACAAACCTTGGCAGCTCTGGCTAAAAATCACCAAGAGTTGCAAGTTCAACATAGGTAGAAAAATCATCTCATCGTTTTAAACACACAACTCCTTAGTAAAAAAAAAAATTCCAAAAGAGAAAATTAAAAAAAAATAAATGGTGAGAAGTATCAGCCGAGTCCTGCAGCATCCAGGCAGCCTCCAACACGTGCCAGGGGCACCCAGCCCTGCTCCTTGGCTCTCCCAGCTCATGCCACGCTCCCAGCCAGTGCCGTGTGGCCTTTCCAGTCTGGAATAAATATGAAAGCTTCCATCCCTAGCCTGGCGTGCCCAGCTGGAGCCGGGTCTGAAGCCAGGGGCAGGCAGAGCTGAGGGGGGTGAGTGGCCCCCGGGCTCCCCCCGGTGTGGAAGGCAGGGCCGGGGTGGTGGATGCTCCGAGCTCACCGTGGTGCCGCAGGGCACAGTCGGGGCACGGCCCCGCTGCAGCCCCCCCAGTGCCTGCCCCGAGCAGGCGAGAGGGAGGAGGTGGTGCCAGTGCCCAGTCCCCACAGACTGCCCAGAGCTGCTGCTCCATCCCGGGGAAGCAGGACCAGGAGCCCACGAAGGAGTGCTGGGAGAGACCCTCTGCTTCCAACAGGGCGCCCACGGCTCGAGTCTGGCGTGAAGCCCAACTGTGCCGGGCTCCTCCCGCTGGGGCCGGGGCAGCGGGACCCGGGGAGGGCCGGGCTATCGGCGAGGTGTCCGTCTGTCCCCTGGGGGGGCCGGGCTGTCAGCGAGGTGTCCGTCTGTCCCCTGGGGGGGCCGGGCTGTCAGCGAGGTGTCCGTCTGTCCCCTGGGGGGGCCGGGCTGTCAGCGAGGTGTCCGTCTGTCTGTCTGCGGTGTAAATGGGGTGTGTGCATGCGAACCTGTCGGCAGGTGAGCGCGGGTGGGGGTGGCCAGGAGCGGAGCTTCCAGGATCTGTCCTGCCAATGTCCTCTCAGAACTTGCCTTGCTTTAGCTTGTCGATGTGGTAAGTGAGCTTCAGGGCTGGCCCCAGCTTCAGCCCCATGTACTTCATCATCATGTCGCTCCGCAGCAGGAGCAGGGCCTTCCCGTCGATCTCCTGCAAGGGGGAACCAACAGCGCTTGTGACGCCCCTGGAAGCCCCTCCCTGCTCGCTGAGCCAGGACAACAGGCAGCAGAGGGGCTCGGTGTCAGCCCTGCTCAGCAGCATCCCAGCAGGGACATCTGAGCATGGACAGCACGGCATCCACCCTGCTCCAGCACAGGCCTCAGCCCCAGACCCCACGTGCAGCAGGGAATCTGCTGGGTGATCAACATCCAGGAGCATTGGCCAGAGGGGCAGCAAATCCTGAAGGGAGGTGGGGAGGAAGGAAAAGGGAGGTTTTGCTGACAGGGGAATGATGGAGGCAGGGGAGCAGTGGCTTGTTCCAGGGCACTGTCACCCCAGCACAGGAGTAATGGTGACAACAGCCCTGCCATGACACACAGCCCTGAGTCACGGATGGAGATGGAGGTGAAGGAACAGACCCTGAAACTCAGTCTGCACTCTGTGACTGGATATTATGAAAAAATTTCTTCCCTGAAAGGGTGGTCAGGTACTGGCACAGCTGCCCAGGGCAGTGGTGAAATCACCATCCCTGAAAGTGTTCAAAACCCTGTGGATGTGGCACTTGGGGACATGGTTTAGTGGTGACCTTGGCAGGGCTGGGGTCTTATTGGACTCTATGAGCTCAGAGGCTCTTCCAACCTGAATGATTCTGGGTTTCTATTCTGTGTTTCTGGAGTTCACAGCACAGTCCCAGCCACTGGCAGAGAGTGGTGAAGCTCCTCACCCCCAGCAGGCTGATTCCAACACAGCAGCTTCCAAAGCAGCTGATGCTTTACAGCAGAGTCCAGGTGTGCCCCACCTGAGGCTCGGGAAGGGATGGATCATGAGCTCAGAATAACCAGAGAACAGCTCTGTCCTTGGCATCTGCAAGTGGAAGTCTCCCAGTCCTTTTCAGTGCTCCTTTCCATCACCCAGTCCAGGCTGGGGCCAGAGCTTTGCACTGGACAGTTTTCCACGAAAAAATGGACTTATAAAAGAAAAATAAAAATCACCACCTCAAACAACAGAATGTCCTGCCCTATGTCAATGCCCAGTTAGGTTTCAGCCTGATGAGATCTCCAGGGATCTCCAGTACCAGGTTTGATCTGGTTTTCCCTTCTGCAGATAAAAGCAAGGTTCTCCCCAGGACTTCCAATCCAGGGCACTTCCCACCCTTGGCAGCTTTTGCATAATTAAAACAAACATTTTTCAATTACTGGTGGTTCTAAAATAGAGCTAATTAAAAAGAGTGTTGTATCAGCACAGCCCAGAGCAGGATGCAGCGCTGGGTGTTTGCTCCCAGGGCTCTTCCAACTTCCCAAGCAGCACCAGATAGAACATGGACTCAATCAAAACACAGAGGGAAGACAGTTCTGGCAGGAATCAGGACATGGAGCTGCCAAACCTCTTGTAGCTTTAATGGTACAAACTCCATGCTGTGTCTGCAGCTGTTTTACACTTACAGATGTGCACAAGGAGCAGAGCCTTAGGGGACTCCCTGCTATAGGAAACGGAGTTGAGCAGTGATGCACTCCATGAATCCCACTTGGAATGTGCTTCTTGACAGGAGAAATTTGCCATGAGGTGAGTATTAGGCTCCAGGGTGAGCAGGGTTTGTGTTTTCAGCACTGGGATTCAAAGCTGCCAGGTCTGCCCCTGAAGGGGTCTGAGTGAGGATCCCAATCCCAGACAGGGGATGAGCAGGATTTATGAGGATATTTTTATTAAGCACAGAACTCCAGCTGGTCCAAAGTGCTGCCATTTTCTGACTCTCCTGCGTTTTCCTTGTGTGCTGATTTGCCCCCCCCCCACGTGACACACACGTGTTTGCCCACAGCCAGAGGCACTCACGTGCTTTCGGAAGAGGTCGGCGTGGGGGCCCAGCTGCGGGTCGGACTCGCGGATGAACTGCATCACCTCCTCCACCGACCAGGACGAGGGGTCGCGGCCGCTCAGCCGGGACACGTCCCGGGGGCCCAGGTACCTGTCGGAGCCTGCGGGTGCAGACAGGGCTGTTATTCCAGCGGCCCACAGTAACTGACCCTCAACCTACCACTCAGCCTCCTCTCCCACAGCAAGGGCAGAGACACAGCAAGGATCACATCCCAGTCAGGCCCCACATCCTTGCAGCGCAGGTCTGGCACAGAAGCCTTATTCCCTCTCCTTTTCAGGGCAGCCTTCTATACTGAGCCCTTTTCCTCTCTCTCAACGCCAATTTCCCCCTGTTTGCCCCCCTATTCTCACTCCTCCTTGCCTATCAGCTGACAGCTCCCACCTCTGCAGAACACCCTCCCCACTCCCACGTCTCTCCTCACACACAGTTCCTCCTCCACTCCCAACACCTTTAGCACATTTAACACAGCAAAGCTGGTTTGTTTTCATTTTCTGACAGGTTGAGCCCACAGGTGACATTCCGTGGTCCCGAAGCACGGCCCGAGCTGACACAAGTCCTGTTCCCAATGTTCTGGCATCGGCACAGCCCCTTGTCCCAGCTCTGCCCTCACACGCAGGTGGAGGGAGGTACCAGCAGCCTGAGCTTTTGAGAGCGTTTTATTGACACCATGCACCCAAAATCACACTTTTTGCAACCTGATATGCTGATGTGCTGTACTGACCAGCTCAGCTCTCCTGCCCCTCTCCCTCCACACAGACAAGTGCTGTTCACACATCCCACCCTTCCAGCCTCCCCCTCAGCTCCAGCCTCTCCAGGCAGCTCTCGACTCCCTGGCCATTCCCGATCCATCTTCACGGACCCAGATGCCCATCTGTCACTTGGACACAGTTCAGCTCCTGCCTGCTCCTTCCTCTCCACCGACCTCCATGTCCCCCTGGTCACCAGCCACAGGAGCAGTGTCACTGTCCACAATGCCACCCGCCCAGGTGCCACCACATCTCACAGAGCTGGGGGGCTGTGCAGAGCCCAGGCTGGTACTTGCTGAAGTCAGAAAGGTGTAACTGGAATTAGGAAGGCCCTCTATTGCCACTGTGCAGCTGCAGGGCTGTTCTGAGCTCTTACCCCCAGAGCTAGGCCTGCGCGGGGCAGAGGTGCCCTGGCTGAGGCTCGAGGGCTGGTGCAGGTGCCTGTATCCTGGCAGGCGACAGTCTCTGGAGCTCCTGCTGTGGCTGGAGGAATTGACAGAGTTCAAGGCAGAGTCCATAGGGTCCACGCGAGGCTCCAAGGGCCCTGGGAGGCCATCTCCCAGGACAAAGGTTTCACCTGGAACGCACCAAGCTGCAGTCAGTGCACCCGAACCCCACGGCACAACGCTCCTGCTCGGGGGCAGAACTGCAGCACTCACTGGCTCTGACCCCTCTCACTGGTCTCCTCCACAGCACAGGGATCAAACCAGGCACTGCCTGGTGTTCACCTGGCAAACGTCAGTCCAGCTAGTGGGCAGTGACAATGGTTGGTGCCCAGACTGAGGCAGCAGCTCCTCTGCTCGTGCCACCACCAGCTCTGGCTCAGCCCTGTGCCCTGATGGCCCTGGACCCCTCCGTGGCAGGGCAGGCCTGCTCCATCGGCATGACAACAGACACAGGACTCATACATAGCCCTGAGCAGGGAGGGAAGGGGAGGTTCCCTGGGGGATCACACACTGCACACCCTCAGCATCAGTGTGCAAGGGACTGGCCCCAGCGGTTGGGATTGGGGTGTGGGACACGCGGGATCCCGGAGGGCAGCACCACATGCAGGGCTGGAGGGGCTGCACTGTCATGGCCAGGCAATGCTCCCATGCCATGCTGGTCCTCCAGCCCAGAAAGCAACATGCTGGTGACCAGCTGCTCATCCCTCCTGACCTCCTGCCCTTTTCCAGCCTAACCACGTCGGAGACCAATTCCCCGTGCTGGCACGTGCCCAGGAGGGACTGGGCTGAGGGTCCTCCCCAGGCAGGGTCCCAGGGCAATAGCAGCTTCCTCACCATTGAATTTCCAGCTGTTGGTGGCACTATTGGGATGGAAAGGCTGAGGAGACTATCCGGGGTTGTATCTGAGCGAGCAAGACCTGCCTCTGCTGTTACACTGTGACAGCATCACCTCAGGGCCACGTGTCTGTAGGTTTTACTATGGCACAACCAAGTCTCAGCCCATGTGACCCTTGAACCTCCTGAGTCATCCTTCAAATACCTGCATTCTTTCCTAGGAATTACCTGGCAAGTTCCTGCACCGAGGAGGAAAGCAGCTCCCACACTGAGGGGCAGGGCCAGCACACACCCCCGGCCAAGGCTGGGGCTGGGGCTGCAGCTCCCCTACCAGGGTCTGCAGAGACCCTGAGAGCAGCTCACAGCCCTGAGCTGCTGCCACTCCAACACACAGCAGGTGACAAGGGGCAAGAAACCTGAGCCACTGCTCTGGCCAGGCCCTGGGTTTGCTCCCTGGGGCTTCCCAGACCACAGGAGCAGCAGGAGAGAAGCCAGCACAGCAAAGCTGTGCTGAGCTGGGTTGGTGGTGAGGGTGCAGAGTCGATACTGCAGCCTGCGAGACCCAACAGCTGTTGAGATTTTCCCAAATTCCCTGCTGACATGGTAGTGCCAGGCTCCAGTGAAGGGAGGTGCAGAGTCTGAGCCTAACCCTGAGTGCTGCTGACACAGGGTCCCACCCGACTGGAGAAGCCTCTCCTGAAGGCACCTTATTTGCTGTGGTTTCTATGGGACTGTTCTGTGAGCTGGGGTCCTCTGGTCTCAGTGTTCTGCTGTCTGTGTTTGAGTAGAGATCCCAGAGCCAGTTCAGCTGGAAATACCCAGCCCTGACCTTCCAGAGCTTCAGCTCATAAGGCTATGGATTGGGAACCCTCTTGTCTGGCTGTTGGCCAGTTTGGTGAGGCCAGTGGGAGATTATCACCTGGGTAACTGCTGTTTTTCCACCTCGGGGGCTTTGTCACTCTGCACTTGAGGCACTGCTGCCTTTTTTTGCTTTTAGGTCTCTGGGACATGCCTAAAAACAGCAGCACAGCCCTGCAGTCTCACTAGAAACTGCTGGTGGTAAGACTGTACCCCCCTCCGGTGACCCGTCCTGTGTCACTCACTTCCCACATGGGCAGGTGTGTTCTCACCTGCTCTCAGTGCATAAAGGGTGGTTTTCTGACTCATGGCTTTTCCCGAATAACTGTGAACCCCTCCTGCACTCCCAGCATCCCATTTCAGCTCCAGGCTGGACACAAAGCCAGCACAGAGTGGCTGCTCTGGCCCTGGGGTGGGTGGAGATCCCCTGCCCAGTCAGACCCACCACTGGCTGTCCCTTACACCAGGGGGTCTCCACTGGAGCTGCTTCTGAGGAACTACACTTGGTCTCCTCTTCAACAGGACAGTTCTGCTTAAACCCCAAACGACTTGCCATTAAACATCTGGGAGAGGGTGCTGTCTGACTGCCAGGGAAGGGCAGAAGCAAGAGAGGGGGCAGTGGGCACAGCCCTGTGCACTGCCACAGGACAGGCTGTGGGCATGGGAACAGCTCCATGCTGCACATCTCCAGCCTCCAAGGAAACACAGCCCCCCCCTGAGGCGACACAGGTTCAGGAAGCCCCGGGACACTCACCCAGATGTGCTGGGTCAGGCACACGTGTCTCTAACTGCTCCCCAGGACCCCAAAGCTCTCCCCACTGTCAGCAGAAGGCCCAGCTTGGGGGGTTGGGAGAGCACATGCACAGGTTCATGTTGGTGCCATGCTGAGGATCCAAAACTCAACCCCAGAAAATACTTCACTCAACAGTCAACACACTGTTGTTATCCTGATGGGAATGTGATGCATTCTGCAAATATGTGATCCTGTTCTCACAGGAACTGCGATCACACACCCAGAGGCCATGGGTGAGGCCAGGCCTGGGGGCACCATGTCGCTTTGCCAGGAGGTGGAAGTGAAGGTGCACACTGACCCCCAGGTTCCCTATCCCAGCTCAGGGCAGTGCTTGGCTGGGCTGTGAACTTTGCAGCAGAGCTGGAGGCTTCCTGGCAGGGGCAATGCAAGAGAGATTGAGGGTCTTCTTAAAAATACAAGTACACAGAGAACTGCTGAGATGAACTGACACCTCTAGGAAGGGGAGAGGGAGATGAGGCAAGAGGGCAATGATTACTGTCCCTGTGAGTCATCTGCAGCAGTAAACAACATGCTCCTGGGCATGGGCAGGGCAAGACTGTGCTCAGGCACGATCTAGGATCCTTCACCCTCCACAGCCAGCGTTGAAGGAGGGAGGAGGTGGTTGATTCTTAGGCAGATTTCCCTACACCAACTGCTAGAGTTAACTAAAGGCTGGCAGTTGGCACATTGTAGGGAAACACACCACAATTAGTGGCGGAGAGGCAGGGAGCAGATAATTAAAGTTTAATTAAACAAATAGTGCTACAGACTCAACAGTGCCATTTTACTGCTAAAACACAGGAGTTTGGCCACAAGCACAAATCTGATTTGCACAACTACTGAACACCCACTGCTTCCAGCAAATGCTGGGGCTGTGAAGGCAGGTCCCCACTGGGCTGGGACTGCAGCGTTTCAGCAAAAAGCAACACAAATGCCACTGGATGCAAGAGGAAAAACAATGTAAGAGGTGAGATCCCCTCCTCGTCTCTCTGCTTTGCCAAAGGCATGGTGAATGGGATATCCCACTGCTGCTCACAGCCTTCCATTTGGCAAACTGGGAAGTGTTCAGGGGCTGCTGTCTGTCACTCTGCTGAAGCCAGAGTTCAGCTCCATGAGAAGATGTACCTTCTTGCTCAAGAAATATTCAATATCCAAGCATTTCAGGTGCATATTCTTAAAATATATCCTCTGAAATGCAAGTATTCCTGCCCACACTTCAATTTCCTGGTGGAGGAGGACGTATTCATTTCAGCTTTTAGCTATGGGATAAGAATGAATTTCTAGGTGGAATCTGGAACTGCACCTCGTTCCTCCCTGCTTGGACCAAGCACAGAACCAGCCCAAGCCGCTGCAGGAAGGTCACACACTGACAGGATCGCCCCCCTCACACACAGACACACTTTCTGCCCACTTGTCTGTGTTTTTCTGGAAGAGGCTGGAGTGTATTGCATCCAGATGGCACAACCCATTCAAAGGCCAAGGGATAAGTGAACAGACTTTGAAGCAGACCAAGAATCAATCTTGTAGACAACCTAATGTAGATTCTTCCTTGGAATTACCCATTATGGAAGCCTTCTCTATTCACTGACAATACAGAGTGTGCAATATTCACCACCCAGCTAAGGCACCTGAACCTTTGGAGCAGACCAGCACTTCCAGAACAGGCTGAATTGTGTGTCCCACCTGCTGGGGGAGGAGGAGGGGCTGGGCCATGCTAATGGTACCTCAGTGCAGTGGCTGATGGATCAGAGGGGAATGGCAAAGAGACCAGCACGGATGTGTATTTGGAGATGAGAAACAGGGGGCCTCAGGGAACAGTTTCTGACTTGTCACTGTGCTGAATAGATGAGACAGTCCCCACATATCACCTTGGGTTTCGTTTCAGCTCTGTGACAAACCTACAGTTGTTCTTACTGTAGATACTGAGGCCACTAAAAACTGTCCACCACAGAATCACAGACTGGTTTGGGTTGGAAGGGACTTTAAAGCCCATCTCATTCCACTCCCCTGCCATGGGCAGGGACACCTTCCACCAGCCCAGGTTGCTCCAAGCCCCGTCCAAACCGGCCTTGGACAATTCCAGGGATGGGGCAGCCCCAGCTTCTCTGGGCAACAGGGTGCAAGTTCAGAGCAGCTGTGCTTAGTGACAGGGTCACAGGACACAGTGATGGATGGAGAACAAAATCACCCACGGTCAGCCACCAGTGATGGCAGGCTGGGCACTCACACCTGGGATCAGCAACCCCAGCAGAGCCAGGGAGATGGGGATTCTAAAGGGACAGCAACAGAGCACGAAGCCATTGAACTGTGAGCCCACCCAGGAGTCTCCAGCACTTTTTCAGGGATATATTACAAAGAACTGTGATTAACACCTTGGCAGATTTCACCATCCATTAATTAAAAGGTGTCAGTAAGATTAAATCTCCAGTCTGCATTATGGAGGGTTTGCAGTTCAGAACAAAAGTGGAAGTATTTTTACTGAAGGTTGCTCAGTTCAGGGAGTCCTCCAGCTACTTGGACCTCCTGGAAATGTCCCACCTGCACATGCAAGGGACACCTGTGGATCAGACAGCAAAGAGGACATTCCAGCAGCTGCTGTTGGGAACATGTGGGCCCAGCACAACAGTGGTATCCCAAGGGACTCTGTGGGAAGCAGCAGCAGGATGTGAATGATCTGGCTGAGCCAGTGGAGCACATGCCAGTGAGACCCCCCCAGCTCTTTCAGGGAGGACTGTGAGGAACAAGATGAGATCCTGGGAAAGGGCAGCAGGTTCCTGGCTGTCCAGCTGCACATCAGCATCTGTACAACACACCCCAGCAAACGCTGAGGGAACAAGCCAGGGTAGACTGACTGGAGCAGCTGGGCAGTTTAAGGATGTTAACGCCATGCACGGCCACAGAAGCCAAATCATGGGTGATTAAACCCCAAATTACACGGTATGAGAGGATGACTATCAGGGTTAGAAGGAATTCCCACTGCATTCCACATGCCTTACGCATCCGTGTGGGGAACCTGTCTCACCACAGAGCAGTTCCCTTCCCTCTGGAACACCAGGCACAACCCATGCCAGGGACAGGCAAAGCAGCCCCCTGAAGCCATGGCTCAGTCTGGCACGGCAGAGGTGACCCTGCTGAGCCAGGACAGGGCACTGTGAACAGCCAGCTTTGGGAAGAGACGCTGTGCTCACCTTCCAAAGGGTGACGGTCATTCTTTGGTAACTTGGGGGAGAGAGGAGCAGTGTATGGAGGGGAATCTTGGGAATAGCGCTTTGTACCCCGGCCTGGTCCCTGCAGAGAGCCGTCTAACGAACTGCTTCTGTCTAGGAAAAGAGAACAAGCCCTATTTAGGAGTGGAGATGTCCTGGGAAATTCAGTTTTGCCAGAGTCCCTTGAGCTCTGTGTGCATCGCCAGCCCTGCTCAAGCTGCAACTCAGAACATCTGAGAGGGCTCAACAAGTGTTATCAGAGAAAAAGGGTGGCGAGAAACCTAACAAAGAATCTTAGCCATATTTTGCCATATTTTACCCCAAATATCACCCCTAGTTGACTTAATTCCATTTCTCCTCATTCTACCCCTTGGCTCATCCCACACAATTCCTGCTTATCCCACTGTTCACCTTTCAGATGCACGTAACACTTGGACAATTGGCAAACAACCCTGGGATGACTTACACACCCTCTGTGCCACACACAGTGCTGGATTAAACCCCACTCCAGTTTGCAATCTTCCCCCCAGTGCACCCCCCAGCTGTGGCTGCTGCTCCTTTCCAAGCACACCCCAAGGATGGGGCTCTCTGTGCCGCGCGGGGCACACGGGATGTCGGGATGGGCTGGGACAGCTCCTCGTACACACAGTGTCGGTGGGTGGATGGACACAGAATGGAAGTGCCAACACTGATGGGGACAGAGCCAGGTGAGCGACACAGGGGGTGGCAGACCATGTCCCAGCTGAGGTGACCCTCCAGCTGCCCCCTCCCCACATGGGCCACCGGCTCCCAGGCCCCTTCCAGTGAGCCCCCAGCACTGCACGCTGGGCACAGAGGGGTGGAATGGCACAGACACGTGCCAGGAGCCAATACCAGCCCAGAGCAGCCCCCAGAGCTGGCACAGGGTGCGGGAGGGGGGACAGGCACGGCGGGGACCGACACCAAGGGGATGCATCACACCCGACACACGGAGGGACAGGCGGGTGGGAAGCACCAGACAGGCACAGTTGAGCTGATTAAGGCGAAACACAATGGTAGAGAACAGGACCTGTTGTATCAATATCCTTCAGGGAAAGGAAAGACAAGCTGCTTGCCCTGGGACTCCATGTGAGTATGACCAAAAATCACTGTGACATTGTTAAAAAGACAAATTCCATCCTCAGGACAAGTCCCTGTAAGAAACATTTACTGCCCACCAGAGATGGGAACAAACGCTCTTGGTAATGTCTCTGGATATCCCTGTGTCACCCAACCTTCTTCACCCCACAGCCACAGAACCACAAGATGAGGTGATACTTTGGAAAGGTTTCATCAGGTTTTGGTTTAGGTTATTTTTTTAAAGTAGTTGATGTTAAAAGTCATGCAAACACAGAAGGTCAGGCCGTAGAAGACAATTCAGCAATCAGAAGTGAGGTTGGTGTAAATTCATGAAAGGATAAACCAAAAATAGAATTTTGGTTTTAAAGGACAAATTTTAAGAAAATAAGGAAATGGAGTAACATCCAGAGCTGCACTCAGCAGATCATTGGGGCAAAAAAGAAAATACCTTCAGTTCAAAGGTGCCATAAATGTCATGAATGTGAATCATCAGAGAGAGAATAATCTGAGAGGGAAGGACCCCAAATCTCAGTGGACAAACGCTCACTTTGAGAAGGATGCCAAGAACAAGCAGATCATTTAGTGGGATAAAAAGGCCCTGCTCAGCACAGAGCTGTGCACCTCAGAGCATGGGGACTGCAGGGAGGAAGGGAGGCTTTGAACTCATCCTGTGTTTTGAGACAGTGCAAAGGCAAAGATAGGCCTGTGCTTCAGCCACAGAAGGAACGAGCACAGGGGAACAGAGGGAGGGGACTCTGTGCACGAAGGTAAGGGTGAAGAGAAAAGGAAAGCAGGTTGTCCTTGCCTGCAGATGATGGGACAGCTGTGAGGGGCATTTCACATCCCTGACTCGGGAGCCTGGCGGGAGGAAGAGAAGCCCACCTGCCCATGCTTGCATGGTGCTGTGGGCCACCCCAAGGCCATGGGATGGACACCTTCACAGGCAGCCAGTCACTCACCTCATCCTGTCAGGTCAAAGTCACTCCAGGCTCCCACTCTGGGACACTGTGCCTTGCACTGATGGCACTGGCACCTCCTCCCTGGTTGCAGAGCACACCTACACACCTGGCTCCATCTGTGACACCCACCTGCACTCAGTGTATTTCAAGCTGAAAGAGGGTAGATTTAGACTGAATATCAGGAAGAAATTCTTCCCTGTGAGGGTTGGAAGGCCCTGGCCCAGGTTGCCCAGAGAAGCTGTGGCTGACCCATCCCTGGAAGTGTCCAAGGCCAGGCTGGATGGGGCCTGGAGCAACCTGGGCTGGTGGAAGGTGTCCCTGCCCATGGCAGGGGGCGGAATGAGAAGAGCCTTAATGTCCCTTTCAACCCAAACCATTCTGGGATTTACTTCCATCTGCAGCCAGGCTGAACACTGGGGCAGGGTTCAAAGGATAAAAGAAACAGGACAGGAATGAAAATGTCCACCACTGACTAAGTCAACTGAATGTTCTCAAACCAGGGATGTGAGGGCGCAGAGGAAGCCAATGATGGTGCACCTGAAACTCTGCAAACTCAGCAAATTGTAACAGAACTCAGCGACACACTACTCAGAGTGACTGGAAACACAGTGCCAACATTTGAAACAGAAGGTGAATGATTTTGGCAACAAAATGCCCATGTGTGACCTCAGCAGCACCGCAAGGCTTGTGGCAGGCTCTGAAGGAAAGGGCAGGGAAAATCCACACGGTACCTACCGTGGCAGGTGTCCACCAGCAGACTGACCCAACAGCCTCCCTACTATGGGGAAATCCTGATCTGTCACATGAGGGAACAGAGGTCAGTCTCATTTCCCTGGAATTCAGCAGATGTCAGATACAGAAAGCCACTGGCTGAGACTGAGAACATGAATTACCAGAAGCCTTGTTCTATGCACAGAAATCTGATTTTGAGAGGAAAGGCAGTTGGCAGCACTCAGTGACACATGAGGCTGGGGAGCAACTGCCAATGAATCTGCTTGAAGATCATTCTTGAACCCAGCGTCATTTAGTATTTTTATTTAAACCTTTGGTGGAAATTTTAGAGATTTACTGATGAAATCTGCTGATGTCTTCCCATGTCAGGCCAGACAACATAGCATTTGAAATTAGGCAGAATGAAGAACCAGTCAAGAGGTAAATCCAGCAGCCAAATGAAGATGTGCACTTGAAACACTGTCCCATGAGCTGGGAACCAGCAGGTGACAACAGTGGATGAGAAGAACAAGGTATGTGACCAGGACAGGCTGGTCATCATCTGTTACAAGGACGCACTGACTGAAAGTGGCTGTAGAGAGATTTCTTGTGACCATGGTGGTGCCAGTGCTGTGGCACCAAGTCCCCACGAGCTCCTCCCCAGAGGGCTGGGTGGTACTCTGATCACCCCATGAAGTCAAACCAACACTGGCTGAGGAGAGCAGAGAGCAGCCAAAAGGTGAGTTCCCCAGAGGGATACAACTGCTTTCCAACTACTTCCAGAAGAAAGAGATCCAAGTTGAGCTAAAAGACAATGTTAAGACCAGGAGACACAAATACCAAGTTGCCCAAGAATAAATTTTGGCTGGAAACTACAATATAGTTTCTAAATACTCAGCAAAAAACCTTGGAGCAGCTTCTAGTGGAAGAGCAAAATCTGTAACTCCAGAGTTAGTCAAAGCAACCCCATGTGCTGTGGTGCCTGTAACAGCAGGACCCAGGGCTCAGGGGGCCAGAAGGTCCCTCCAGTCCTGTGTTTTCAGATGGCTCCAGGCCAGATCTACCCATTCAGAACATTTCCCAGCCCAGGCACAGCAACCGAATCCTTGCAAACTACTGCTCCTGATGTACAACTTGACCTGTTTTCCCCTTGTTTCCATGATCATGCCTCACTTGGTAAGACAGAATGGCAGGACACAGCTGACCCAAGGGCTGCTGCAGACCTTCCTTCTGCCCCAAGCACACACACCAATTCTCCACAGCAGCCCCAGGGGTGCTCCTGGAAAGCCAGTTTGTTCTGGGAACTGAAAGCAGCTCCCAGCCCTACCCAGTGGCTGTTTACTGGAAGAACCAGCCCCATCCAATACATTCCCATCCTGCAGAGGAAGCAAGGCAGGACATGCAGAGCTGAAGATGAGACCATGGCACCTTGACACTTGGCATGATTTCAGGATGTACAACTGCACTCTCATTCCTCCATGACCAGCCCAAACCTCCCAAAATCGCCGGTACTGTTCCTCTGCCCTCACCAGAAGCCACTGTAACGTGTAGATAGTTATGTTTATCATCTTCTTTCAGGTGCCTGAGAAAGGTGTTAGATGACCAGATGACCAAGGAGCTCTGAGACGTCAGTATGAACTGCTGTTCATACTGGACAGGACTAGGTGCTGTCACTTCTCTAGACTGTGGTTAATTTTTCTTTAACCCCTGCAACCATTCAAGAGTTCAGGATGGGCAGGTCTCAGCATTGTGTCAGAACTGTTGCTCTGCCTGAGCTTCCCTGAATTCTGACTTACACTTCTCCACCCTGCCCGGCAGCCCAGCTCTTGGCAGAGCCACCACTGACCTCTCTGGGAGGCTGGAAAGCCTGTGTGTGAGCTACAGGACACTCTCATCCATGCCCACACCTGAGTCCTCTCCCTCCCACTCTGGTTTTGCTCTATCTCTCAACAACAGGGTATCTCCACACTGAAACATGGAGATTTCTCCTATTTGAGGGTTCCCCAAGGGGCAACCTCCACTCCCAGTAACTGATCATGCTGCTCCTGTCCTTGCATTTCCTACAGCTCCTCACAGCATAGCACAGCACAGCTCCCTGCTCCTGGCACTGCTGGCTCCAGCACGGCTCTACTCAGCCATGGAGGAAGCAGAGGATCATCCTCGCTCTCTAGACTCTCTCTAAAGATCCTCTTGCTCCTCCCCTCCCCGAGGCTGCTTTGTGAGGTGCAATGAACAAAGCACTGTGGCATTTGGCTGTTGCCCCTACACCTCATGTTTAGCAACTTCTTCCTAAGTGCTCATCCTTTTACATTCCAAACTCTTGCTTTTCTTGTCAGAGCCATAATTATTCAAAGGATTAACTTTGGAAAGACCTCAAAGAACACAATAGCTATTTGCTGACTGGGGAGGCAGAAAGCAAGACAGGAGAGGAGATGACCACTTGTCAGCCACCTAAGAGGGTGCAGACAGCTTTGATCCTCTCCACAACCGGCATTCCTAGAGCAGGAGCTCCCCCAGAAAGCCTGGAGGGGCAGCCAAGCCCCAGGACTGCTGCCACTACCCAGCACTGTGGGGGGAGCTATTGGGCTTGTTTTGGCTTAAGAGCAGTTTTGCAGCCTGATGACCTGCACTGTGGCATAAACTGTCTAGCTGGGGCGTGCCAGTCAGTGCAGCAGAGCATCAGCCATGGCAAGGACAACAAAACCACCTCTGCCTCGGATTGCTGCACGAGCATCACCGTGAAGGGCCACGCTGTCACCGAGGGCTGGACGTGCTGGCAGCGGGTCCACGGCCAGTGGCTCTAATTCATTCCTGATTCCAGTTCACCTGCTGCACGTTATCACTCTCATGCACTCGCTCACCTTATTCCTCACTGTACGAAGAAGTCACCATAATCAGATTACAGGGAGCAGGGAGAACTGGGGGATGAGGAGAGGAGGGAAGACAAGGAGACAGCACGGATGAGCGGAAACCTAGAGCGGAGATGGAAATCAAACTGACAGGCAGAAAATGCAGCTGGATTCCTGCAAGAGCCCTGCGGGCATGTGCACGACACTGGGTGTGATGTAATGAACCCTGTGAGAGGGCTCTGGAACACAGCCCTGCCTCCAGAGATAGAGATAAAATCTGGGTTAAGACATGGAGCACTGGGGGTCCCTACAGCGCCGCCCCCGCCCCAGCTCCTACCTGGTAGATACCTGTCGTGGTCGTACTCGTGTGAGCGCTGCATGTGGCTGTTCTGAGAGAAAGGCTGGTTCCCAAAGAGGTTGTCACTGCGCAGATTGTGGCACAGCTTCTCCAGGAAGCGGAGGACGTAGGTGATACTGTTTACTGCTGGCAGGTTCAGAGTGTGCTGTTCCCGATCAAACACAGCTGGAGACAGAAACAAACAGAGCCCAACACGTGAACCCCCCGCCGAGGCAGAGGCTACGCCCAGGGCCGCACAGCTCCTGGATCTCGGCATCGCTGGGCTAGTCTGGAGCCAACAACAGCCACTGCCTGGGGCTGGCACAGCGCCGGGACAGGCCGGGACCAGCCTGCTGCTCCCAGCACCGGGCGGGCGGCAGCGCGGGGGAGCCACGGTCCAGGGAACCGAAAGGACTCCAGGAGGGGCCTGCACTCCCAGACCCGGCTACACACGGGCTTAAAAGGACCATTAAAAACCCAAAAACTGGGGTAGTTCTTTTCTTTCCATGAGGAGCTGTGAGAATCCCCCCCGTTGTGCCTCCTCCCGGGGCCGGGGCAGCGCAGGGGATGGTCGGTGGGGCAGGATGGTGCCCAGGCTGATGCCAGGGCTGCTCACTGCCTGCTCACTGCCTGCTCCCACAGCTGTGCCCGCAGGCCATGGGAACTGCCCTGCTCTGAGTCAGCCACCAGCTGCTGCTTCACTGACACAGATGTGTGGCAAGAAAGAGAAGACAGAACTCTTCTGTCTGCCCCTGGCCTGTGGCTGCACCAGGCTCCAGGACAGACTTCTTCCAAGGAGAGAACTCTTGCAACGACCTCTCTGAAGGCAAAGTGCTGTGGGCCCATTCTCACCTGAGATGACCTCTCCCCCGTGGCCTTGTTTTAAGAAGGAGAAGACTGTTTTCTGATGATAAGCACAATCAATGCAGGCCTGTACTGCTTGCTGCAGGACAACAGAAGCTCGAGCTGGTCCAAAATGGTCTGGCAGCTGCTGAACTTTCTTCTTGTCTAGGTGGGGCCCAGTGCTGCCGTTCTTGTTCAAGTAAATGCAAACTGCCAAGGTGAGAAATGTGTTTGCCATTAACCCACTCAAGAAAGCAAGAAACAGATGCCTAAAATCCAACTTGAGAGATGCTGAGATTTTAAGATTATCCAATGGCTCACAAGGGGTAATCCACCACGACTGCCTGTCTGCATCCTCACAGCAGAGCTGCTTCTAGAGGGGAATCGCCTCCAAAACCTTCCTGCCTCATGCTCACTTTCCAAGCTGCTGCTGTTTCTCCCTGCAGTCAGGCTGTAAAGTGGTTTCCACACCAGCCAGGTCATGTTCAGAGGAGATGAAGGAATGCAACTCCCACTTTTTAGGGGTTCCTACAGTGTTTTCTTTTTAGGGAAACTTGGTTCTTTAGGTTCCTCTGAAAACTGGCGAATTACATTCTGGGGGAACAGAGGGCTCAGCCCATATCCAAAGCTTGACTCAACATGTCAAAAGCAGCTTTGCATTAAGACTTTCCTGGCCAGATTCATCCTCAGCTGCACTCACATCTGCAGCAGTGCACATACTCTTCACTGCCACTCCTCCTCCTCCCCTACTCCCTCCTCTCCCTGAGTGCCTTGGTATCCTGGCTGGACCTGGACAGACCACAGCCCTTTGGTAACTGCTCTGCCCCTTGTGCAGCTCCAGCAGCTGTGCCTGGCACGGTGTGGGAGAGCTCAGGAGCTCACAAGGGTCGCTGCACACTTGAGTGCCCCCAGGCATGAAGGGCCATGAGCAGTGTCCCTGGAGAGCTGTGGAGTCACCAACATGCACGTGGGAACTCAGGGAAAGGGGTCTCTGCACTCAACAGGGGGCCTTGCAATTTTCCTACGACTCCATTATTTCCAAATGGACAGAGAGATAAATGAACGGCTGATCTGGACTCAGTGCCTCTCTCAGGCCAGCCCTCCTGGAGCTGTAAGGATTGCTGGTTTACAGGCTAGGAAGAAATGGGACTCTCCTGGGGTGTCACTGTCTGCCTGCTGCAGTTCCTAACTGTGCAATCCTGTCAAGAATGTGGTCTGAGACCCTTCCTTACCTGTGGGAGCCTGCATGGCAGAGCTGGGGATTGTAGCAGCGTCCTGGGGCACAGTGCTTGTGTCTGGCTCTGGGGTACTGGTTGTTGGAGAGGTGGGTGCTGGGTTCAGCAATGTCCTAGGTTTCCTCTGCAGAAAAAGAGGAGATATTTCTCCTTTTATCCCTGCTCTCCTTTATCACCCGTGATCACTACACTCTCTCCTCTGCATCCAACAGACAAGGCACTGTGGAACATGACACATTTCTGATGGTGATGACGGGGTGTCCTAAGAACGTAGTAATCAATAGGTGTGTATTTTATAAACCACAATCCTGAAAAATAACAAGCCTGAGATCTGCCACCTCAGTTTGACTCAGACCAGCCACATACGAGGACGGGAGAACTTATTCTACCATTTGGCCACCCTGTCGTGCTCCCAGCATCTGCCATGCTACTCCACAGCCAGTGCACTTCCAAAGACACGGTTTCTTGATGGAAATGATCTTTAGGACACAGACATTCTCTACAGCTCTGGGGTTGGACTCTGAGGATGCTCCCAGCCCACATACCCCTTGGGTCTCCTACTTGCTGCAGTCACACAGCCAGAGGCTGAGACAAACGTGCACAAACACACGCATGCACCATCCCATGGCAGGACCTGCAGCACCTGCTGTTCACCCGCCTGCATCAGCATCAGCTTTTACCTTACTGCCAGGCTTGGGGCCTCTCTTTCTGGGGAATTTCAAAGGCTCCACTGACTTGGAGGGTGTAGGCATGGGGTGGTGGATTAGCGCTTTGGTCGTTCGACCACGCTTCTTCCCTGTTTTGCGACGCCTTTGCCCTTGTTGATGCCCCAAAACAGTCTTTGTGCTACTGTGCATGCTAGGTTTCTCCGAGTTTACTTCGGAGGCAGGTAAAGGGCTCTTTGGAATCACAACTGAAATAAAAAGAGAAAAAGCAAATATAATTAAATCAGGCGAGAATCAAAACAAGAGCAGCCTCCATCTTTATACAGAGTCACACGGAAAAACCTGGAGTACTCACAGCCCCCTGAGCGGGGGCACTGCCCTCCATGCCAGAACAAGAACCAAACACACAGATCCCTGGCTTAGCACTCGAGCTGTGGGACACTGGGGCTTGGCCTGGATGGGCTGAACTCCAGAAGGATCACGTTTTCAGCCATACCTTCCTTCCTGAAAATAACTGGCACCTACAGTTCTTCCTTCTGCGAGTGGTGACCTGCCAGCGACCACGTAAAAGGCTCTGAGAGCATTCCTAGGGAAGGATCAGCCAAGACCTGCCTGATAGTCAGGACTGTGCTGGAAATCCCCTCCCTCAAGGCTGAAGTCAAATTTGCTCTGTCCCTAAATATCCACTGAACTGCAGTGGAAGGGACCAGCTCCATCCTTGATGCCTGCAAGGATCACTGCTCCTGTAATAGCTCATCTCAGCTGGACCAGCTGTCCTCTCCTCTCCTCTCCTCTCCTCTCCTCTCCTTCAGGTACTGCCAGAGGCAAGTCTGTGCCTTCTTATCTTCTCACACTTTCCACGACAAAACCGGGTTTCTGGTAAATTTGCCCACAGATCCTCTAAATTTGGTCATTCATCTTTCCCAAGTCCTGCTAAAGGCTAGAGATTAGCTGGCCCAGCTCAGCAGACCGATATTTCCTTCAGTTTTAAAATTCTGCTAAAAAGAAACAAACAAACATCCTCCTGTATTCTGAAAAATGCAGAGTGACCTTTAGGATGTCTTGTTTCTCACACCTGGAAATCTCAATGTGTATTCAACATAGGGGCAAGGAGTTAGAAAGACACAAATACTTTTGAGAAGTGAGGGGCTTTGTAGTTAAGGAAAAAACTCTTGGCCAAGGAAACAGAGTGCAATAAAAGATTGATACCAGGATGGCACAACTGTGGGCACATACAGAGATTTTTAGGGTTTCTTTAATGAGGATTTTATGAGCAGTTACTGTGAGCAAGGAGTCATTCCCTTGGCACAATGAAGCTGTGGCTGCCCTATCCTGGAAGTGTCCAAGGCCAGGTTGGACAGGGCTTGGAGCAATCTGGGCTAGTGGAAGGTGTTCCTGCCCACAGCAGGAAGGAGATGAGCTTTAAGGTCCCTTCCAAATAACATGGTGCATGCAGGATCCAGCCCCACTCTGCTTGTCATGTGGGCAGGGTAAGATTTAGTTTGAATTTTATTTCCTTGCTTTTGTGCATTAGCATTCTGTATCAAAAGCTGGGAAGAAGCACACAGTCACTCAGAATCTGTCTGACTTCCCAAGTAATGACTTTTTTGTGTCAGGCTGATACAAGGAATTGTGGGAGAAACAGGGTTTTACTACTCCTTGTCTGAAATGTTAATATTAACAGCAAGACTTTGCTGGTAAGAAAATGAATATGATAGCTCAAGTGCTTCTTGCAGCTGATAGTTTTCCAGGAGAATCAGTGTCACCTGCTACAGGTGACATCTGGCACTGAGCAGGAAGGAATGGCACAGGTGGGAATTGTGGGGGCTCTGGCCTCGTGTGCACGGCTGAAATGTTTGCATTACAGGATTTATCAGAATCCCCCAAGTTGACAGAACAAGGATAAACCCAAGTAAAATGGAACAGGTTGCCCAGAGAAGCTGTGGCTGGCCCATCCCTGGAAGTGTCCAAGGCCAGGTTGGACGGGGCTTGGAGCAACCTGGGCCAGTGGAAGGTGTCCCTGCCCATGGCAGGGGTGGGACTGGATGAGCTTTGAGGTCCCTTCCAACCCAAACCAGTCTGTGACTGCATGATTCTAAAACATTCCATACTTGAAAGAAAATGTCAAACATCAAAAAGTGATGTGGAAGCAAAGGTGAGGGGCATTTCATTTGAGATGAAATGCACAATGCTCAGTGTCTAAACCAAGTGCCACAACGAGCTTTCTCTAACCTGGAGGAGAAATTGAGGATTCTACAGACAAGCAAAATCACAGTGATCTCAGTTTTTCCCGTGACAAACCCATAGAAATGGTGCATTTGGGAAGTTGGGATGCAGTAGGCAGAGCAGCTGGACTGCACCCTTGGCTCCCAGGCTGGGACCACATTGCTGGGAACCCAGTGCCAGGGAAAAAGAAACTGCTGCCAGGTGAACTCCTGGGGTGCAAGATCTCACTATATAATTTTATAGTAAAAACTGACTTTATCTTTTGGTGAAATAAATGCAAGAAACATCTGGTGCCCACTTCAGCTGTAAAGACAACAATGGTAATTTGCCAGGTTTAGAGAATTGGTTTTGGGTTTTGGGCAATAAAAGCCTGTAAGTGGGTGCAGGCAGATCCCACAATGGAACACCTCATGTCATTCATGTGCCCCTGGCAGCACATTCTGGTCCCTGCCTCAGCCACAGCTCCTGCAGGGATGCAGGAGCTGCCACAGCTCAGGAGGTTGTTCAACAGAACAGGGAAATGATGTGTAAATGTGCAGCCAGCTCAGGACAGAGACACCCAGCTCCATTGGTGCTGTGTGCCCAGCAGTGGTGCTGAGCACAGCCCTGAGCACAGCCCTGAGCACAGCCTGTGAGCTCCACTGGTGCTGTGTGCCCAGCAGTGGTGCTGAGCACAGCCCTGAGCACAGCCTGTGAGCTCCACTGGTGCTGTGTGCCCAGCAGTGGTGCTGAGCACAGCCCTGAGCACAGCCCTGAGCACACTGCAGAACAGGCACTGCTCTTCTCCCTGGGGCTGCTGCCACCACACTGATGCAATGCACATTTTTCTGACCCAGAGTGCTTTAATGAAATGAGGTCTTCTATTTCCACAATCCAACACCACTCAGCAGATTGCCTGGACTTTTGTTGGATTTTAACCAGAATGTGAGAAAACAACAGCCGGTGCTAATTCCTTTCTCTTGCCCTGCCCGATGCAGAGCTGCACTCATCCTGAGGAGACACCAAGAGCTCCAGAGCAGAGTCATCCCACCAGCTGCACCCACACAGCCACAGTGCAGCCCCCAAAACACAGGGATACTGCTGCCCATGCTCTGTCTCATCCCCCAGGCACTGGGGTGACTGGATGCTTCCTAAAGAAGTCTGAAGTTTCCCTTCAGTGGCCTGTTATTTTCCTGCAGGATTTCAAGCCCTGCTGTCACATGGACCTGGTCTAGAAGCACAGGATTGCTGTGGAAGGAGCAGTGCTGAGCACTCAGCCCTGTCTGCACCCAACCTGGCATCCACAGAGCTCCAGAGGTGGGAACAACTGTGCCCAGCAAGCAGGATTATCTCACAGCTCCAACCACTGCTCACATCTCCTTTAACTGCCAAAAGTTTCCATTTACTGCAACTTATTCATATTATTACTGCTTCTTAATTATTAAGAAACTAAAGCTATTAAAGAGTGTCCAAAGAAGGGCCACGAAGATGCTGAAGAGTCTGGAGGGGCCACACAAGGAGCAGCTGAGGGCACTTGGTGTGTGCAGCTGGAGCAGAGCAGGCTGAGGGCAGAGCTCAGCGGGGGCTGCAGCTCCTCCCCAGGGGCAGCTCCGAGCTCTGCTCTGGGGGAGCAGGGACAGCCCCCAGGGAACGGCTGGAGCTGTGTCAGGGCAGGGCCAGGTTGGATCTCAGGCAAAGGTTCTTCCCCCAGAGGCTGGTTGGGCACTGCCCAGGCTCCCCAGGGCAGTGGGCACAGCCCCAAGGCTGCCAGAGCTCCAGGAGGATTTGGACAATGCTCTGAGGGCCAGGGTGGGATTGTTGGGGTGTCTGTGCAGGGCCAGGGGTTGGACTCAATGATCTTTGTGGATCCCTTCCAGGTCAGGATCTTCTGTGATTTTGTGATTCAGCTGGAGACAGTGCCAGCCCAACAGTGAGCAGCTGCCAGAGACATCCCCACTTCCTTCTTCCTTGTAGAAGCCACTGAGAGGAGCCACGTTTTCAGAAAATCAAGCAGGGCCCCTCTTACTTAAAAAATCCACAGTTTGCTGTTGCTGAGAAAAGCAGCATCTCTCTGCCCCACAGCTTTGGTGCTCACCTGAGCTCTGAGCAAACTTAACCAACTCCAAAGCTGGCCTTGCTTTAGGTGAGGAGCTGAGCCAGCAGCCTCCAGAGATCCCTTCTGACCTGAATTATTCAGTGATCTGAACTCATGGTTAACCATTTCAGCTCATTATGGGAACAGAAAACTACTCAACAGAAGTTTTCTGCTGGCTGAACTGCCTTGTTTTGGGTCATACAGGCATCCAGCACCAGGGCAGACACGGAGCAGTGAGCTGGCTCCTCGCTGGGCTGGCTGGCATCGGATCCATTTGGCACAGTGAGAAACATTCCCCTAAACATCCAGGACCAAAACCAGCTGAACTTAGAGCCGAAGTCAGACACCACTCATGGTGTTATTGATCACTGAAGGATTAGTTTACACAAGAATTCTGAGCTCCCTGCCAACTGACACATGGCACAGCAGCACCTGCAGCTGCCCACCACACTGTGACTCAAACTGTCACCTACAGCAGGCTCTCACAGTTGCCATCCACACTCTGAGGGTAGTCAGAGAAAGCAGCATTTGTCACCTAAGCTTATCTCAGGCTTGGCACAGCTTGAAGAAGACAAAATTAAGTCCTTGGGACAAGAATTACAAAGCCAAACCATATAGGAAAATATGGAACAGAAATACTGAAGTTGCAGAAGGTTTCCTGCCTTTCTCTACTATTTACCAGCCCAAACTCCCCATCTCCATTTTCTGTGCCAAGAGCTCTGTACTCTCAGGTGCAGTTGGAGCTCCCACACTTCTCCCTGGAGATCTCAGTAGTGATCACTGCAGTGTCTGGAGGGGTAGGGGGTGGTTTCTGAGCAGCCTGAGCACAGCACTCGTGCCCATCCCAAAGCCCCTCTGAAGGCTGTCCTGCAGGCCACCCCTCCAGGGGTTCTTTGGTGCTCAGCTGCCCCTTGTCCCATCCTCAGCACTGTACAGGAATCAGAGGTG